TAATGTTATATGGATTCATTGAACCAATATCGTATAACGATTTGACCTTTAGTCAATGTTCGTTTCTTTTGATAGATACGAAAACCCATTTCGTAGAATATTTTCAGTCCGTTTGAGGCACTTTCCTTGCCACTTCCCCCCTTCCCTCCCCCGCTTGCCATTTTATACGCATTTCAACATTTATGTGCAATTTTTATGCGCCACCTGCCAAGCGCTTTAAGCATGAACCAACCAACAAACCAACCAACCACCCACCGTCCATAATCCATGCCCCGCACTCGCATGCACAAATAATTGCAACATATTAATAATGTCTGCGACCACGCCCCCCTCTTGCCAGCCAGCCCCACCGACTTTTATGGCTTTCAATTTGATGCGAGCAGTTAATAGCCCAAACACAAAGCCAAAAGAAGTCGAAGTGGTAGTGGGAGTGGCAAGTGAGGTTAGCACAGGAAATTGTATGAAATTTAACAAATTTTTTTTCCCGACTCCCCAGGAAGACAAAGATATTCTCGTTCTCACAACCACCATCCATTTTATCTCCTTCCCCACCCGATGGCAACTTTAATATGAGCTTATTGGCTTTTGGTAGCTGCCACCCACAAAAAAAAACGAGAGAGAGAGGGAAAGAGAGAGGGGGAGAAAAAAAGAAACAGGAGACAACTCTTGGCTACAAATTTTGACGAGCTCAGCAATCTGAACACGCATGTGGCAGATGCTTCAGAGGTGGAGCGGGGTGGCATTTCGAAGGGGGTGGGGCGCGGGGAAAGGTGGAAAGGGGGGAAGGGAGGATGGCCGGAACTGGAAACACGTAGCTGATGCGCCCATCGTCTCCCGTCACGTTATACGTAACGTAATGAGATTTTGCGGCAGCTTTGTGCATTGCGGCAAACGCACCATGTTCCGCTTTTGGGCCTCGTTCCATGTCCATGTCCACATCCCTGTTCCTGTTCCTGTTCCTGCCCCTGTCCATGTCCATGTCCATGTCCATGCCCGTGTCCTGCGACCTTGAACGCTGGCCGTCGGAGGTGTTCAAAGGTCCTGTCAATATCCCCGATTAAGTTCCGTCTTACGTGAGCTGCTCTGCTTTGCCTCTGCTTTTGCACTGGATGGAACGATGGAACGTGCCTAAGGAGGTGCTAATAGCTGCTACGATTTGTTGCCTGCACGGCGAACAAAAATTACTCGAAGTTGTTGCAGCTTATCGTTAAAATGTTACCAAAAAGTGACAAGGATATTTATAAGAAATCTCTAAAGGTTTGATATTAGTAAAAACTATAACCAAAAAGAATTATTTTTGGATGAGGTTTAGAAGTGTCGAAAAGTATGCTGTAGAAAATTAAAGATCAATTAAAGCTCTCTTGAGGGGTCAAGTTATTCAAATATATAATATATCATGAGACTCAATTATCAAATAAGAAAACATTAGAAATTTGAAACCCACTTCCTTAAGAATGCATATTAAATTCAAAAGTTCTTAAGATAAATGTTTTAAGACAATGTACTTTTCAGCAATTCGATTATTTTAGACTCCATTTAAAGCTATTTGAAACCTGTTTCTCATTTCGCAATACAATTCAAATTAAAACTCAAAAAGCCCCCGAAACCCTTTCGCCCGAAACTCTGTGAGTCTGGCAAAAATATGATGTAACCTTATCAAGAACCGGGTCAAATCCCTCGTAGTCTGGTGTCTGTGACAAAGCGAGTCTTTAGGAAAGCGTTGAGCGTTATTTCTCATCATCACGCGTACATCCGCATGACATGACAATTACCCAAGCAAATAAATGCCGAAAAAATGAAAGAGGAGACCCTCTTCAGCAGCAAGCGTAAGGCCTTACGTAATGGTGAACTTCCATATTCATTTGGCCGCCATCATAAATGCCGGGAAATTTACTTAACGCTAATGCGCTCAGCGCCCGAAGTTAAAGCCCTAATTACGTTAAAGCCAAAAGACGTCAACTAAGGAGCTCAGTGGCAGGCAGACAGACAGACAGACAGACGGACATGAAAGGCGGCGACAGAATCTCCTGACCATCTTCAGCCAGACACCTTGTCCAAATGCGCAGACCACAGACAGACATTCACACCAGGCCACAAAAGTGGGTAGGGTGGGGCGTCAGTGGAGAGGAGGGGTGGGGAAAAGGGGGTGTCACAAGGACGGGGATTGAGGTTGCCAGGCTCTGGCAGACCATAAATATCTATCTGTCGGCAAATCTTAGCCCAACTACAACTTGCCAGCAGATCGCATCTGTTTATGCTTCGCCTTGCTTTGCTACCCTGCAAAAGGTTAACCACTTTCCAGCTAATTTGAACAGGTGAAGTACTAGTACTTCACATATATCCGGCTTACTTATACCTCAAGTAGTTTGAAGTACTCAAAATATACTGTATGTCTAATTTGTAGCTTAAAGCATTCAACGAATATTAAAAAGGATTTTTTCAGACATACAAAATGTGTGTTTTTTTCTCCAGAATAATATTCCTTTTAACTTGGTATTTAGCTTGTCCAAAAATGTCCAAATTTGCTGAAAAATGCTTTACGCAATATATATTTGTGATAGAAAATATAATATATATATGCTCAAAGCAGATTTTCACAAACTCAAGTTATTGGTTGCAAGTCTTTAAAGAGGTAGAAACTTGACGATTTGAAATCACTTATAAAAATGCCTGCAAGTATGCTGCAAAATGTTGAACTACCGAAACCAACTGGTTTTGAACCCATCAACATTCAGTTAGATATATCCCAGTATCTAGTTAAGTAATGTTAACACCTCAAGGGTATTCAAGGTATTGTTTCCCGGTTTTTCGATTCGTTAGCCTTCCTTTTCAGTTTCAGTTCGGTTGTTGTTTCGCTTGTTGTTGTTTGGCATTGTTTGCATTAGTTGCCGTTGGTGGTGTTGCTTTTGCTTTTGATGGTTGTTGCTGTTCCTGTTCCTGTTGCTGTTGTTGTTGCTGTCAGTGGTGTTGACGGTGCGGTGGTGCTGTGGTCCCTTGCTCACTGCCATTGCCGTTGCCGTTTCCGTCGCCTTTGCCTTCGCCATCGCCTTTTACCATCGCCTTGGCATTGTTCTTGGATTGGCATTGTCATTGTCATTGTCATCTGGGCGTCCTTGTTGGTCCAGCACGTTAATTGTTTCACGTTCGGATTGGCCTCAACTCGGATTGGATTGGATTGGATTGTCGTTGTGGAGAGCGCCGGCGACGACGACGACGACGACTACGACTAGGAACTCTATTAGTTTTAATTAAACAGCTGAGCGTCTTGGCCAACTAATTATAGTGAATGCCAAAGACGAAAGGCGGACGAAAGGGATGCCCGGTCCGGTTTTAATCATTGTAATTAATGTGCGCTTGTTAATAACAATTAAATGCGTTTTTCCCCCTTCCCCTACCCATTTCCGTCCCCTCCCCATTTCGCGGCGCCTCCTTCTTCCTTGTAAATATATATATATATATACATATATATATATGTATGTTCGGGTTTTTTATTCCCGCGTCTTGGGACTTGAGCCACGTCTTGGCTTTAGCTTTGGCTTTGGCTTTGTCTCGAGCATTGCCTGGCAACACAATTAAGCATTTAATCAATACAATTAAAGCCTTGGGCTCAAGCGAACATCATTAAAAGAAAGGAGCCGAGCTGAGCTGAGCGGAGCGGAGCAACAAAGGCAAACGGTCATATAAAAATAAACATAAAACAAAGCAACAATTCAAGCAACCCAGCAGAAAAAAACAGCGAAAGCAACAGCCCCAAAGAATGGCGGCGAAAAAAAGGAAGCGCTCAACTCCGCTGTAACAAGAAATCGATGCAGTTACGACTTACGTACACCCTAGTTGTCCATTTAAGTGGAGTTCACTAATAAATGTACTTAAAAGAAAATTTAAAAATAATACATTTTGTAGCATACTTTTCAGGACCATTTTTGTTATCATTATTTTCCATTTTTCTGTAAGTTGTTAAAGTTATTTAAAGATCTTAATAATAAATTAGAAATCTTTTATATTTTTATTTGGAAAACCAAAGCCTACTTTGGACAGCCAAAAATGGAGTTTCAAATCAGTAAAATTTGAATGTATATATGCTTGCTGAATTCTCCTTTTACTTCCATTTTATTCACTTCTATGAAAATCTGAGGGGCCCAACAGCAGTTTTATTTATCTCCCCAGGAAGTTGTACTTTTCGCGATCGATGCGTCGGTGTTTTGGATTATAGTGCCAAGCGACCCCGAAAACGTAACGGTAAATGACGGAGGAGAGCAATGCGAAAGCTGGATTAAAACTTTTTCTAGGAACCAAATTTAAGCCGCACACAAGGATGCCCGAGCGATGGAAGGATGCGGGCATGCTGCCCGTACTGCCGTTATCCTTTGGCAACTAAATCCCCACTGCGCGATGCCTTTAATGAGTTGGAGGCGAAGGGGGAGCGGGAGCGGGAAAATGGGAAAGGCGGGAAAGCGGGATAGCGGTAAAGGACAGAAAAAACAGTGCAAGTTTTAACGCAAATAAACGCACGTATTTCACAACTTTGCACCACTTTCATTTTCATTTCGGCATTCCGCCTTTTTTGTCTTTGTCGCTTTTGTCCGTCCGCCCAACCGTTTGTCCGTCCGTTCGTCTGTCCGTCCGTTTGTCCGCTTGTCCGTTCGCCTTTTACCTTTTTATTTTTTTACCCGTACCGCCCCAACGGTCTTGGGCCAAAAATGCCGAAAATTCGCTGCTAATGGAAAATAGTAATTACAATAATTTGCCCGCTCGTTTTGCCTTTCTTTGTTCGCGTCCGGACGGTCGGCTTTTCTCGCGCTTTCCCCCCGCGCGCTTTTCTCTCGCTTTATTTGCATTATTCATTGGATAGCTGCAGGTGGCAACGGCGAACGGTAAAAATAATAACCAGCATTAAGTCGTCAAGTGGGCGGGCATCAGCATCCCACCTATCCCGCCTATCTGTTGCTCGTGTGGGCGTGTGCAAATTAATAATAAATCAAAATTAAATGTTTGCTTACTTGACACTTTGGCTTCCTCCTCCGGGTTTTCGTCGGACGTGTTCGCTCTTATTTTATTACTTTCTGCTGAGTTTTACGTTTTATTTATTTATTTTTGCTCCGCTTTGCTTTGCTTTGCTGCTGCCACCGGAAAAAAAGAAAAAAATTGGTTTCAGAGGCAATTAATTTCACCGAATCGAATGGGAAAAATCGGGGCGAGCAGATGAATGTGTGTTCTTGTTTTCTGATTTTTTTTTCACAAATTTAATACGAGTTCGGGATCAATAACTTCACTCCTTCTTCCTTATTTGTTATTTTTAATTGCGTTCGTTTTAAGCATCATACACGATAAGTTAAATCAATAAATAAAATGCAATTCTGCTCTTAAGTCTTCAACGTTTTCGTACTCTAATTAAGCCGGACATAACAAGTGGGAGGCTGAAAATGATAATTCCGCGGGAGGCTGACACAACAATGGGGCATTAATCTGAAATACTTTTGGAAAGAGAGCACTCTCATTGTTTGCGGACGTGTAATAAAAAATGCCAACAAGCCAATGCAAATCAAAAGGGCTGACAGAGTCAATATGAGAACTTATTTGTCGATATATTAATCCGTCAATTATTGGCATTGCCGGGCAAACAATGCCACCCAATGCTTTCGCTCGGTGGGAGTATCTATCAGAGGCGTTTTTGTGGGGGCATTAAGATGCCACCAACTCGATTATCGGCCCCATTGCCTAACAATGGCATCAATCAGGCTCCAGTCGCTGGGGGCTTATATTCTTTTCAATTAACACCCCCCATCCCCCTTCGCCTGGCCGGCCATAAAAATTGACAAATCCCCCAACGGTCGGTGAAAATCGAATTTATGATTTTTTTTGTTTTTCTTGCCACTTCTGAATTACGAACAACAACAACAAAAGTAGAAACCGGGGTAAACGGGCAACATGACTTTTACATGATTTTAATGCGCTCTCAACACCATCAAAAAGAAAAAAAAAGGGGAAGACAACAACTTTTATCAGCTTTTTACGCTCACTTTTATGGAGTTTGTTACAAACCCGAAAAAAAACCAAGAGCAAAAAAACAACAAACAAGAACACACCAAACAAATTGCTCAAAAGTCTGAAGTCTCTGAGTCAATGGATTATACACTTCCGATTTACCATTAATGCAGCAAATATTCACTCGGATCGAAAATCGAATTGATCGAAACTTATTTCGTTATTTGACTGTGGTGTTAATTGCGACGGATTAGCGCCAGGTGTTTTGTTTTGATTTTTTTTTTTTTTTTTTTTTTGGCTAGATGCCCGATGACCGGATAGCTGATGGCTGTTAGCTGTTAGCTGTGTGTTGGCTAATGGCTAATGGCTAAAAGTTGAAAGCTGAAAGTTGATGGCTGATGGTCGGTTGCTGCGCTCGAGCCGAGTTCAACTTGTTGTCGCGTTGCTGCCCAAAGAGCAGTGAATCCTGGCTCGCAGAGGCTGAGGACTCGACTCGATCCGAGGATGTTTGCGGCCAGCAGCGACGACGATGAGCACGAGAATGAACGCCACTCGGCCAGCAGCCGAGCGTCTGTGGCAGCAGCAGCCGACAGCAGCCGAGGAGTCCTTGCCCCAACGCTCGTCGTCGGTGGCGGTGGCGGTGGCGCAAGGGGGGGACGGGGGTGGTGCAGCCTCATCATCGCTCTGCTTTTCGTCTGGCTGTGTGCGTGTTAAGTGTACGTGTGTATCTGCCAGCTGCGACGGACGCAGCAGCAGCAACAGCGTCCGACGAGCCACACTGCGAGAAACAAACACACCACCACTTTTTTTTAGAAACTTTCAACAAAAATTGTACAAATTTTAAAATAGACAACCAATAATTTTATTGCAAATAAAAATTGAAAATGAAATACTAAGCAAAGCACAGATTAAGTGCTTTAATTTAAACTTGGATTTTTGTATGTTGTCCAATTCATTAAATTGTTTGTTTTTAATTCTGTATTAAAGTCTTCTTTCCAACTATTATTTATTTTTGACCCAATAGTTAGTTAGTTACATGTTATCGATGTGTTTCAAAGAAGAACCTTAAACGGTAATTCTAAGTCTTATACTTGACTTAATGGATCCCGAATTTAAAGTGGCTTCCCTTTGTAAGTTGAAGCTCGATTTTTGAAATATTAATTCCAATTTTTCCTTTTAGGGTTGCTCAATTTTGTGGCAAATATTTCAACGTTTTTGATGTACTTTAAAAGCGTGACCTTTGTGAATTTTGAATTAAATTCTCTACAAACCTAAACTCTACATTTTTGATTTTGAGGTAGTCAGCTTTTTGACTTTTTTACATTTAAATTTTTTTTTAGTTTTTAAAGTATTTTAAAGGGGGTAACCAATTCTGGTTCGGACTCTTCTAGAGTCCGTAATTTGTCCAAAGTGATCTCAATTTCAAAATATAAAAAATAGGTTCGTAGTTTGGCACTTAAATTAATTTTGAATATAGCGTTTAGGTTGAATATTGTTGAGTTAGTATCTTTAGACTTTTGTGAATTAATGTCTGATGGGGTAGTGGCATTCCTATGTTAAGAAATAAAATTCGAAATGGTCCTAAATATGAAATAGTAATAAAAGTTAAGAAAATAACTAATTAAGAAGTAATAGTTTGATAAAATTTTAACAAATTTAAACTCCAATTGGTGTCGACTTATTTCCTTCAGCGTAGCACCAACAACAAGTGGGACGCTTTTTTCGGCGCTCGGCTCGTCCGCTGCACTCGTCTTTCCGCTCACTCGCTCGCGCCCTCTCCCTCGCACACGCACACACGCACCCCGACTCACAGACACAGCCGCAAGCGGAGGCAGTTTGCCGTGTATGTATGCGTCTCGTTGCGCCTCGTTATTGGTTTCGGTTTCGGTTTCGTCTGCTTTTTCGTTTTCGCTTTCGCTTGCGCCTTTTGTCTTGTTTTTGCCACTGCTTTTACTGTTGTTTTTGCTTTTGTTTTTACCGTTGGTTTTACTGTTGTATTTACTGTTGTTATTGCTGTTGCCTTTCCTGCCGTACGCCTCTTTTTCGGTTTGCTAAGCTCCCACTGGGTGGCGCCACCAATTAAAATATTTTTCACAAATTAAACAAACACAAAATAAATCCGACAAGTCCGAAAAACCAAAAACAAAAAATATATTACTGAAATCGGCCGAAAGTTGTGTAGCACTTTAATAAAGTTGGGCACACGACACGCCCACCCAAAAGAAAGCACACAAACACACATGAGCGGTGGGTGGGGAGGTTGGATTTTCATTAAGCAGATTTTGGCCTTTTCCGCTGTGGGTCAACAAAGTTTTTCCGTTTTTGTTTTTCTTCTCTATTTTTTGATGAGCCAAAAACGGGGGCGCAAATAGAAGGTGAGCTGCCAAAGTTCCATGGCGAATTCAATTACTCAACAAGAGAGCTAAGTCCTTTTTAAAGATCGATGGACTTAAAGGGATAGTAATGGCAGGCCCCAAAAGGATATAGCTTAATATATAACAAGATATAAACACCTACCAGTTTTACAAATGTGAATAAAATTTAACAGCATTAAATGGAAGTTGATAAACAATAAAACATAGTAACAGTAAAGTACATAAATAGACTTTACATTTCATATAAAATTATCAAATCAAATAATAAACAGTGTAATTTTGACGAAATTGTTGATTTTTACACTTAAAAAAACAGCATGATAAAAAAGATATCAAAAATGTTTTATTTACCTCACTAGGTTAAAAATGTACAGGTTAAGATTTACAGATAACATTTTGCTCTTTTTAATAATAGGAATACCGCAACACCTTCTTTGCGTTTTTTTAAACCCCTTAGCAAACATTAAGTCTAATTGTGTAATTATAATAATACGCACCTTGACTATTTAATTAACCTATCATCTATAATTTTTTGTTAGCTTTAGGGCTGCCTAAGAGACCCAAAAGCAAACCATTTGGCTGGGTATTTCAAAAGAGAAGTGCTCTCCTCCCGAAAAAGCCCTCTCTTGATCTCCGAAAATAGAATAATATATAGACTAGATAACGGAGGAAATAACTCGCTCAGTAGACAGCTGCTTTTAGAATGGATCTGTTGTTCCTCAGCCGGCGGATTTTTCTGGGCGATGGCAGCCAAAATTCGCTGATCCATGGCGGTATTATTGTGGATACAGAGGGTATCATTCGAAAGGGTGAGTCCTGTGGAGATCTACGATCTATAAATCCTATAGAACCCAAATAATATTCATCCAAAACCCCTAGTGCTACGTTCACCACAGGAAGTCAACACCTATCTGTATAACACGGAATCCGAATCGGTTTACGATTTTGGTGACCTCGTATTAATGCCAGGACTAATTGATCCCAATGTGCACATCAATGAGCCGGGTCGAAAGGATTGGGAGGGCTTCGCTGCGGCCACAAAAGCGGCGGCAGCCGGTGGCTTCACCACCATCATTGACCGACCCACCAATGCCGCACCACCCACCGTTAGTGTGGCGGGTCTCAAGGCGAAAACCTCGACGGCGCGGGGTAAAATCTACGTGGATGTGGGCTTCTGGGGTGGCCTCATCCCCGGAAACGGAGATCAGCTGGCTCCGCTGCTGAATGCCGGCGTCATCGGTCTGCAGTGCACTTTGTACGGATCCGCTCCGCCGGTCGCCCAGGAATTTCCCGCCGTAAACGAAGCCCAACTGGAGGAGGCTCTCGTCCGACTGGAAAAGGATCACGACGAAGGCGAAGCTCTCATAGCGGTGAGTTTGACTATTAGTCGTTTAAGGCATGAAAAAGATCTCAAATATTATATATGTATATATGTTCCAACCAAATTGCACATGCATTTTAAATTTGATTGTCATTAAAAACCATTCATATTTATAATCCTAAATAAGTCGGTTTTAAAATGTACATGCTATGTTAAACACATATGAGTATGAACAGATTCAGTGATTTTTTTACTTTTTTGCAGTTGTCAAAAGATTTTCCATTGAGGTATACTTAAAATTTTATTTGGTTATTATTAATTAATTAATATTATTTATTAAAGTCATAATTCTGCATTAGTCTTTAAATATTTGAAGGTTTGACAGACCATAACGTGACAAATTAAAAAACCGGAGTAAATAATTTTTAATTGATGTCTTTGGTTGGTAATATTAATATTAATAATAGTAAATTTGTAGAAATGTTTATTTTTTTTTTTTTAATAACAAAGTGATTACCTTTTTGAAGAATTTTTTGTAATAGACAAAACAAGATTCACAAATAAGAAGTTGCAGCTGACTAAAATAATGTTCATTCATAATTTTTCGATTGATGAAACATTTAAGCACCTTTTCGCCATAGGAACCTCTTTTAATAACGTTGTCTTGAGGAATGGCAGAAGTAAGCCACTTGCTAGATTCACATGTCAACCAATTGTGGATATATTATTTATGTAACGAAGTATGCGCCTGCCATTCTCCCACATTTGTTTCTTAAGTTATGATTGCCTAATTAAGTGCGAACCCCTGAAACTTGCACCCTTCATCAACTTTCACCCTGCACCTCCGCCAGGTTCACGCGGAGTTGCCGCTGCCCACGGAAATCCCGTTCGACGAGGAGGCGCCACGGGCGTACGGCACTTTTCTGGCGACTCGACCGCACGAAATGGAGACTTCGGCGACGCAGCTGCTCTGCCGTGTGGCACGTCGCCACCCGAGGCGTTGCATCCACATCCTGAACGCAAGCAGCGGTCGCTGTGTGCCGCTCGTGGAGGAGTGCCGCCGGGGGGAGGGGGCAACCGGCAACCTGTCGATGGACACCTGCCCGCACTATCTCAGCTTGGCGAGCGAAGAGGTTCCCGAGTGCGGCACGGAGTTCAAAACATGGCCACCGATTCGGGAGAGGAGCAACCAGGATGCCTTGTGGGCGGCACTTAAGGTGGGCGGAGCGATTCGGTTGATTGGCAGCGATCACTCGCCGGCAACGCCTGGCGCACGCGCCCTAACCTGCGGCAGGGGGCGTGGCAACTTCATGAAGGCCTGGCCGGGCATCAATTCACTGCAACTCAGCCTGCCGGCTATTTGGACTGCAGCCAATCAGAGGGGTAAGTTATTCATAATCTCCACACTAGTGCTAAATTCCTGGTAGCAATACCATCGCATATCAAGTATACGCAGTGTGGGCAGATGACACATCATGGAAAGAGGTGAAAAGGGGCGAGGAGGAGGAAGCTTGAGGTGGGTGTCATTTTTTAATTCCGCAAGTTGACAAAGCTCAGAGTTCTCGGTTCCCGGCATCTGTGGGCAGGCCTTTCGAATTGCAAAATGCACATTCCAGGAATCTCCATGGGCTATTTATACAATATTGCTTTCAGTCAACACAAGCTCCTCTCATCAAGTTTTAATTTGATTTCAAGTCCCAGTTTGAGGCCTTCAATTTGATGTTGATATGATATGACTGCTGTTCGGTCAGTACATCATAACAACAAATAAGCCTAAATCAACTTACTTATAAATTTTATATGGAATGTTAAATCCAATCTTCATCCACAGATGGTGCTGCAGCAATCGCTCTACACATTTGCTTACATTTTTTAGTCTCTGTTAAAATTTAAATAATAAATGCCCACAAACGAACCCTGTAAGAATTTGGGTTACAGTTGGAACTAAAATATTAGCAGTCATATGAACAATCGTCGAAACTTGGGGAAAATAATAGAAAAATCGTTATAGCCTCGATGATGTTTTAATACTCTAACGCACTGCATCTTTAGTTAATTGTTTATATTTTGGCCGATTTTTTTTTTCAATTTTTATGATCTATTGCCTTTCCGAATTTCTATAAAAATTCACTAGTTTTATGTCCATAACTTTTCTAATTTTAATCAGATTTTAAAGTGGCATACCTCCAACAGTTTGTATTTTAATTTTCTAACGAACTGCATTATTAGTTAATTAGTAGTGGCAATTGGGTTTGATATTTGCCAAATGGATTGTTTGGCTCACTAAAAACCGGATTTAATATTACCTAAGACCCTTCGAAACCCCTTTAGACCTTAAATCCTGACTCATCTGTATGTATTGCATTTTCTCCAGGATCTGCGCTGACTATCGCCGATGTCCATCGACTGATGTGCCAGGAGCCGGCGAACCTGTGCGGGCTGTCCGCCTCGAAGGGTCGCATCGCCGAGGGCTTCGATGCGGACTTCTGTGTTTGGAGTCCCGAGGAGGAGTTCACCGTTGGTCCGGAGCTGCTCTTCACCGCCACCAAGGCCACGCCGTACACGGGCCGCCGGCTGCGGGGAGTGGTGCATGCCACGGTGGTGCGGGGACTGCATGTCTACCAGCAGTTCGAGGGCTTCGGCCAGCCGCTGGGCAAAGTGGTTCTCCGGCGGAGCGGTCGCAAGCTGGTCAAGTTCGTCAGCGCCTGAGACGAGGGGGAAAACTGCGGGGATCTAGGATAAACTTTGCTAATTAAAATGATTAGCAGATTGGGCTGTGCTCGCAGATATTCCGTAACCATTTTCCTTTCCCATTTATACCCTTTCCTGGGGTATAGCTTATCTATCTTTCGTTGAAATGCAATAAATATTTTTTTATTTAAGAAATAAACCAATTGATTGCTTTGTTACTTACACACTAGTTATCAAAAAAATCTTCACATATTTTGTAGATATTGATTTTAGGATATCAACAATTATTCAACAGAAAAAAATTATTAAAATGTTCTCATAAGTGAAAAACAACTTTCGAAAGAAAACTTTTTATTTTTAATATATTAAAGTAATGTATTGTTTTTGATTATGCAGAGTGTGTCTGCTAAGTTTGGGCTTAAATGTTATTAAACTTTATTAATCGTTTGTTGAAAGCCGAAATTTAAATGATTAATGGCCTGAGCAATTCTTGGAGAACCTCAATAGCCAATTTATTATGCAATAAAAAACTTTTTATTGCCTATTTAACGGCATATTTATAAGTGGTCGGCTAGACCCTTAAATTTTGTGAAGAAACCAAATTTAATTTAAAATATATTGGCAAGTAGTAACCAATATAGCAATATAATAATAATAATAAATCGTTTACACAAAGGCTCATCAGATTAAAAAGAACCTATTCACCTTTTTACAACCTGCGGATACCTAAGCATTTTCTTTTCCGGGGAAATATAATTTTATGAGGCTGTTTGATAGTGTTTAGCGTAACGAGCGGTCACCAGGCTCATTCTGATTTTAGTCCTGGAAGTTGGCCTGCCATTTCAGTTTCCCTTCCTTTCTTTGCGGACTTCCTTAGAGCTGCCTTCTGTCGCTCGAAGGATCAGGAAGAAGAAGAAGATGAAGAGGGGGTTGGGGGCAGGAAGTATTGGGTGGCAGGACGTGCAACAAGTTGTCGCGTGGCAACGCCGAGTAAACATGACACCAGGCGACCTTATGGAAAGCACCCCACCATCACATCGCATGTGTGCCTGCCATCGCGCGTTTTTCCACCGCTTTTCCTACACTTTTCCTACGCTTTTCCGCCGCTCTCCCAGGCATGTGGATGACAGCTTAAGTTTGCTTGCCAGGCGTCAACTCAATTTTTGCAACTACACTCGCGTGTGCGAGTGTGTCTGTGTGCGTGTGTATGTGTGCGTGTGTATGTGTGTATTTTGTCTGTCGGTGGGCGTGTTTATCTAAGCGATTGGGCGGGCGGTACAGGCAGCAGGTTTATGCCGTGATTTAGTTGAACTAGAAGATTCTAACTTTATCTGCTCGGCACTAAGCCATTGATGGATGTGCACTCAGAGAAAATACGTGATGGAATCTTAAGGGACTTGAGCCCACTTCAATGACTGTCCAAAGAACCCAAAAAAAAATGTACTTCATTCGTATTGAAAATAAATGTAGAACAAAAGTAATTTCCTATTTAAATAGCACCTTTTTACTTTATATAAAATGATTCATTTTTACATATGTTTTAGTCTTTATTATTACATTTATTTCCATTAAAAAAAAAAAATTTAAGTAAGAAAAGAAAACATTATATAATGGAACTTTGAGTTTTCAAGCTAATAGTTTTTGAGCATTCATATCTATCCAGAATTTCAATGACAAAATTTTAAATGAGTATCATTACCATGAATTATTGTCTTTTATTTTTAAACCACTTAAAGCACGGATTTATATGGTTGTACCCCTAAATACCAGCTATGAAATTCCCAATCAAAGAATATTTTTTCCTTTATTTTTATTCTTTGAGTGTTAAATGTTTATTTCTCGAAACACAAAAGTCAAAAGAATACAACTTTATTGCAGGTTCTCATTCGCGGAAAGTACTGTTTTCAAAAACATTTAAATACCCGATTACTCGATTTCCAGGTATTTAAAAGGGCTATTATCCCCGCATTTTCTCCGCGTGCGGGGCAAAGAGAAAGGTGAAAGGGGGGGGGCTGGAGTGAGACAGATTGAGGAGGGCGGACAGAGACAGAGCTGTCAATCAACGCGGACATGGAGACCCACGCATAAACCGCTTTGTCTGCGTCCTTCTCTTTCCGCCTTCCCAACTTTCCACCTTTCTCCGGGAAATGGAAATGGAAAAAGGAAGACGAGACGACAGAGGCTTGGCCCGCAAATACACCTTCGGCTTGTTGATATCCCAGTGTCTGGTGACGCGGCGATTTTCCGCTTTTCTTTTGTCTCTTGTTGGTTTTGTTTTTGTACTTTTCCTCGCCATTTATACTGGGGACTTGCGTGCCATTTTCTTGGCCGAGCGATTTGTTTGCTTCCTGCCTGTTGCCATCATCGTCGTCGTCGATGTCGACTGCCTGCGTCATTGATGCCCACGCTCGCCCAACGCTCTTAACCCCACGGCGGTGACGCTATTTTTAGCCCCTCCCCCTCAGGAATGGAAACTTTCGCCAAAACTAATTTCTGAATTATTCACTATTAAAACCAAAAAAAAAAAAAAAAAAACAACAACAAGCACGGAAAGAACAGTGAGCATTTGTGCACTTGCGTGGCTGCTAAAATAATTAAACAAAATGTTCTGTGCAAATCTAGTTGTCAAACTTTTTTATGCAAGCAGCCATGGAAATGAAATCAATTAGGTGATGTTACGTGATGCGCAAATGGCGTAGCAGAAATATTTAAATTCACTTTGATAAGCTGGAGAAAAACTACATATTTGTGCAAAAAGTTTTCGCATATCACAGTTAGGTAACAAAATTGCATTTATACGGTATATGGTCCAATTAAAAATATATACGAAAATTACGTTTTGTGCATAATGCAATTTTGGTTCTAATTAGAGCTTAAAAGTGTCACAGAACAAAAGCTATTTTTTTCGTGTTTATTATTTATTTAATGTATTTCAGTTATTACATTTTTAACGTGGTCTTATGTCATCGAATTTCTTTAATGTTTAATATTCCTCCACAACCTTTTGTGGGTTAATATTGCCGCGTTATGAATTTGCCGCAGGCGACTGTGGGGGTTTTTTCGGCTACAGTTAGCGATTCGCTTAACGCGCCTCTGCGCAGCTTCCATTTCCATTAAATAAATGCCAGAAGCAGATCACAGTTGCAAATCATATTAAACGCGACGCGGGGACAGGTGAACGGTGCTTTTGAGTGGATTTCGCCTGTCACTGGCAGGCAACGCGGCGTATACGCGATGTGCCTTGTCCAACGTAACGCATACGCCATGTGAGCCACACGCGACAGCGAAAACTTTCACCCGTAAATCGGGAGAAATGGGAGGGAGGGGGTTAGAAGTTAGAGGGTTAGCGAGAAAGGTAAACATTACGCATTCGCAGCGTTGCCAAAGTGAAATGTTATCCCCGCTCGCCCGAAGCCATGGCCCAGAAAAGTGGGCTAGGAAAAAGGGGGGGACAAACATCTAAGGTAAATTCATTCGAAGGCGTGACTTGACCCCGACAACCAGGGATAAAATCAAGGATTCTGAAATAAGCAAAGTTTTGCACGCTCTTGAGCACAGATTCGGTGGAAATAATAGCACCCACTGGAATCTCAGATATTAGAATCGAAATTCTGCGAAAAGAAACTCAATCTTTTCGTTTTTAATTAATCTTATTTTCTTTAATGTTAAAGGTTCTACAGATAGTTAAATTTAATATTATTATTATTACATATTATATTATTATATGTCCGAGTATAAGCTCGTTTGAAATAGTTCTTTGCTTTTGCATTTTTTTCTTACAGTGATCTTTGGTGATTAATAAAAATATAGCTTACACAAAATGTCTGGCTTATATGAACCAGAATTCGAGATGTATTGGGATTATGGAGCTTAACAGTTCGATTCAAAACCTCAATTATACCGTAATAATTGCTTTCTCCCACTTTTCTTTTTAGGAATGGGCAAGTGATAGGGACGGCAACTAGAGTACTTTCACCCTCCACTCCACTTGCAATAAGTTGTCATGGAAACTGGCACCAAAAAGTATGCAGCACTCGGAGCGTCTGCGAGTGAGAGCAAGAGGGGAAGAGCTGCCATTGCGTGTGCGCAAGCGAGTCGGCAAGCAAGCTCTGCTACGACATAACTGTGCGCTAAGGCGATAACGTCAGCTGCTATCTCGCTTTCGCTTTGCTATTTAAAAATATTTATGCATGCACTGCTCGTGTGTATGCGAGTGTAAGTGAGGTAAAGGTGAGTAAGAACAACGACGTCGACTTTGACGTGGCGCTCTGCTCTCTTTGTTGTTGTTCTTGGTGCAGAAGAAGTTATTCCAACGAAGTAACGGCCAATTACGAAACAAAAGTCGGTGGGGGGGTGGTGGCGCGGGGGAGAGTGGGAGAGCGGGCGAGAGAGGAAGCTCCAAATCATATGCTCGCTCAGCTGGGGCAGCGCTGCCGGCGTCGCCGTTGGTTAGTCAGACATCATCAGTGCTTTTTAGCGCTACGTAGAGAACAGACGGCCTTCCCAAAACACACACACACACAAAGCCACGCAAATACAGAACTTACACACACACACTTCAAGGCGGCAAAAAACAAAAACAAAGACCAACAGAGGCGGCAACAGCAATAAAGGTGACGATTTTTGAGCGCCAAAAAAACGTAACGGCAAATCACAAAGAAAAAAACATTTTTTTTCAGTGCAAGTGTTTATAATTATAGCTCTGCTGTGTACATATGCTCATGTGTGTGTGAGCGTGTAATCAAATACAAATCAGTAAAATAACAAAAATCTTGACGTAATCGCTAAAATGCAAAGCAAACGACACGAAAACGAGCAACAATAACAAAGAGATTTGAATTTTTTTTGTGTGTTTTTGGTTTTTAATTTGCAACTTACGGTGGGACAAAAAGAGACAGAGCGAAAACACACTCGCGTGTTGTGCTATAGTTGTAGTCTTTTTTTGTCGTGTAGTGCCCGTGTTTGCCGTTATGCAAAGATTTCATTGTTATTAGTCAGCAAACGTCAACAGGCAGCAACAACAAAAGCAACAACCAAAGCGGGTAAGCGATAAACACAAAGTACAGTCAAACCCCATTTGTTCGATTTTACATACCATTTTGCCTCCACAAGCTTTTTCCCATACGTCCATTCAAAAATATCATTCGGTTACGATTGTGCGCATAACACTTTTTTCTTGCTTACATATCATATCTTTATAATATATTTTTTTCATTTACATATATGAAGTACCCGGATTCGGGTTTATACGTGCTGATTTATTTTTCTCATACTCAATGTTTAATAATGGCTAACATTATAAAATATCTGTATTTGTCAAACTCACAATCTTTGCGCTTCAAACGTTTTTTGTGGACAGATGGTGGTTTTAAATATGGAAGCTTGACTGTATGCTAGGGGAATGCGAAAGAGCGAGCGAGTGAGAGCGAGACAGTGGGGGGTGGAGCGTGAGTGTGCGTGAGTGCAACAACAACAAATTCTTTCGAGTGACGATCCTCAATAATGGTGTTAAGAAGGGGAAGCACCAGAGGGGGAAAGCGTGTGTGAAGTGGATGCGGATAACAGTGATGTGTGATGCAAAAGGAGCAAGCAGAGAAGGAGGGTGTAGAGAGAGCGCAGATTATGCTTATCAATGAATTATTGAAGAAGATTGGGGAGCAAGGGACAAATAAAGCAATGTCGCACACAGCAAAAAACATATATAACACGACAATCGACATCACTGCTCAAGTATTTAGAAAACAAAAAATAGAAATAGCTGAAAAGTTAATTTCAATGATTTTTTGATTTTTTTTTTGTTAAAGTATGTACATATAAGTTTTATGTTAAATTTAAGATTTTGTTATCGAACACATCGAACTGTTTTATTTTTGTGCTGCCTCATTGCCTTGACACTGCGATAAAAATTCGGTTAGATTCGACACATTAGTAAAGTTGACTAACTTGGGGGAAATACTCGGAAAGCGGAGAGTGGAAAATGCGGATCGCAACGAGTTGCTGAACAGCCCCTTTCCACGAGTTCCCGCTAATCTTGCACATTTAAAGAGCTCAACTGGTTGGGGCCGTCGTGCATAATTATCCAGCAGCAACGCCGACCTGATAACATAAGCTGATAACACACACCGCGAGAAAAAACAATATTATGGTTCAAACTTGTCCATATGAATTATCAGATGTCCATACAAACTGACTGTTGTGACAATAATATTTGCAAATGGGTAACATTATTGCTATATAGCTATCCAAAATCTTACCTCGAAAATGTTGACGTCAAAACTGTTAAAAAAAACCTGATCTATTTGGGGAACAGACGTCATTATATAATATAAATAAATTATTAATTTAGAATCAAAAGGAGAATAAGAAGTGTTAGAATCCCAATTGGTACTCTAGTTATTTACGGTGCAAGTTTTAATAGGCAAGAATGGAGAACGGAGAATAGGGGTTTATGAAAATTGTAGGGTGTTATGATAATCCCAGCATAAAGCCTCTCCCTCTATTTCTCTCTCTCTCTCTCTTTTAGTCTCTGGCACCTGTCGCCAACGGCTCTGTCTCGCTTGCACTCCCACTCTCCCGCTTTCCTCTGTTGTTCTGCTTCTTGTTCTTGGCTTGTCCATGACAAGTAATAACTGTTGTGGCTTTTTTTTTGTTATTGTATTGCACATTCATTTAGTTTTAATTAATTCAGCCAAGCAAACAACGTTAGAAAAAAGGAGTGAAGAAGGGGCAGGCGATTGGGGGGGCCGGCAGAGATTCACCAGCACGCTCGCAGAACTCAAACCAGCACAAACACAAGTACAAACACCAACGCAGTGGAAACGAGTAAAAATAAATAATGCTGACGTCAATTTTGCGTACGCCAATACACAGTGCAAAAAAAAGAATGGCAAAAGGGGGCAAAAGGGGGTGCGGCTAGAGCAAACCAAAAGCCAAAAGCAAAATGCAAACTGATTGGAATTGATTGAAATGCAACAGCAACAACTTTGAGCTTTTCTGCTAATGTCAAACAGCAAAACCTATTGAAATCAAAACAGCGCCGAAACCAAAATACTCTAATTAAAAAAAGGAGTACAGTTTCGGTCAAAACAGTTGCTAATTTTGTTTATTTTTTCTTAATTTTTATTCCATGTTGGATAGCTAACACTTTACAAAATACATACTCTAAATTTCATTGCTGTGAATTTCACCATGGCGGATGATTAATATTTGATTTCATTATACATATAATATATCTTGCAGAACTTTAAGTTAAAGAGTAAAATTAGTTATATGGTAAAATTAAAATTTATCTATTATAACCAATAGGTTATTAAAAATTTAAGATTGGTTTGGTTTTTCTAGCTTTCACCCTTTTAAAGGGATTAATAGATAATGTATAAAATTTCTTTGTTAACATCAAATTAACTGTTGGTCCTTGTAAAAATGATTATTTCTTTCTGTGTAGGGGCGATATGATACCCAAGTGCGCTTTGAATTGCCAAATCGCAAACCGCATATTTCAACCAATTTATGGTCGGGCTCCCTACGGCTATTGCGCTGACCGCAGGTGTATATAGTATTTAGTATATAGTATAGGAGCGGTATTTACAGTTGCCATTGGGGGGACTAGGCAAACTTCATTAGCCAGTGATGTCAGCCGGTGTAAAGGTAAAGCGGACTACGAGCATTTCGTCAGTGAGTCAGTCGATGGGGTCGTTCAGACAGTCCGGCATTTTGGGGGGGAGGGTCCTCAACCAAAAGATTGGGCGTTACAGGGCGTTCGTGCGGCGTCGTAATTAATGGCAATTATTATGTCACTCAAAGGGAAGTCGATTGAAAAAGCAGCCTAAATAATGCAAATGGAATTGGAAATTTTAAGTCGAAGAAATACGACCAATAGAAGGGAAAAGCCACTTGACCACCATTGCACTAATTAACTATTAATTCAAAGCTGTTGCAGGCTGCAAATTATCCCAGGTCTGTTTTTCTTTTAGTCCCGTTTACGTTCTGAAATTATCCGTCAAATTTTGTCGCGATGACGTCATGGCCATCACATACAGCCAATAATTATTGGGCTGTAAAGTAATTAGCCAAAAATATCATTTGTGTTGATTGTTTTTTGCACTTTTGTGCATAGGTTCCTTTTTGGAGTAGTAAATGGCAAACGGCTAAACAAACAAAAAGAAAACAACTGCGTTTATTTTTTTTTTCCATTTTTAAAACCTAAAAACCTTGGGTCATAAACTCACAAAAAACTTATTTGTATTTTTCCATATACAAATATAAAAACAACATTTTTTTAAAAACATTATATAATTTAAAACACATTCATAACTAACTTAAAATAATTTTAACATCATTTCAAACGATAGCTAATGGGTTGTTTTAAAATTGTTTTTACCAAAACCCTTAAATGTTGAATTGCAATTATTAATGTTTATTGTTAAAAATCGATCGGTTTAGGGGAGAAAAAAATTAAAATGATTTGTAACACAAAAAACATTATTTTACGTTGATCAACAACTGTAACATGCGTGTCTTGAACTAAAATAGACAAAAAAAATTAAAAACTTTGAATGTTTTTAAATTTTCCCGCTCTGTAGTCAATTTCGATACCACAGTTTTTATCCAAGTTCCACACTATTTTGGTATTTCTAGTTTATTTGAGTGTGATATTTTAGATTGCTGCCGCTACAGTCACACTGTCGAGCGAGCGAGCTAGCAATAAGCGAACGATTTTTGCGCAAAAACGGAGTTTATCAATAAATCGTTGCGTACGATTGCATTGACCGTTTTAAACGCGTTCGTCCTCGTGCAGAAACCCCGAATCCGCGACATTTACCGCCCAAAGACGCGTTAAAGTGCTGCAAAAAAGAAGAAAAGAACGTAAGCAACGATAACAACAGGCAGCGAGCAAGAGAGAAAGGGATAGAGTGGGAGCAGTGCGGAGTGTTGTGTGTGTGCGTGCTGCCAACTTGTCGCACCAATTCCCTGCTGCCGTTGTGTAGTGTGTGTGTGTTCTCTGTGGTTCTCCCAACAGGGGAAAAATACAAAATCTATGCGCGATGCTATATCAATCCTAACTGAAGTTTTAGGGACAAAACACCGATTGGCTGGCCATATTGAAACATAGATTTTACTTACCCAAGCGACTTTTCAACAAGTTGCCAGCGCAGCGTGCAACGCGCGCACACACACACACGCACGCACACACGCGCAAAAACACACGCAAGAGAGAGGGAGAGAGCAACAACAACAAAAGCCTCTCAGCAGCAACGTTTTTAGTGATGTCATCAGAAAGTAAGTTGATTTTTTTTCGCTGTGTTTTCTGTTTTTTTTTTTTTTTATTTTGTTGCCTCTTCGCAACACACATACACACGGACACGACGTTGTCATGACGTCATTCCACCGAAATACACACGGTGCGGTGTCGTTGTTGTTAGTGTTGTTGTCGTTGTTGCTTGTCGTTTGTTGTTTTTGGGCCTGAGTTCCATCAGTCAGCAAATCGGCAGCAAAATACAATCATCGTCGTCATACACAGCGCACTCGTCATCGGGCTCCCAAAACAAAACGTACTACTAATCCCGCCCAGACTCGCAATAAAAAAAATTTGGAAATATTATTAAAAAAAAAAAAAACTGAAAAGGCAAAAAAAAAAGAACTTATTTTGATAATACCCCTCGCCGTGTAGAAACGCGTTCAAGCTGGCCAAATTGAAGCGGAAACGGTAGCCAAACTGAAGCACTTGTCGGAGAGCGTCTCGGTGCTGCTGAAGATCGCCAGGATCGGCAACATGGACAACAGCATCGTCGAGGAGAACGGCAACTCGTCGGCGGCATCGGGCTCCAATGACGTCGTCGACGTGGTCGTTGCCCAGCAGGCGGCGTCCGCGGGAGGCGGTGGCGGAGTCGCCGGAGGAGGAGGAGGAGGAGGAGGTAGTAATCCTCAACAGCAGCAGCAACAAAACCCACAGAGTACAACGGCCGGCGGTCCAACGGGAGCGACGAACAATGCCCAAGGAGGCGGAGGAGGAGGAGGAGGTGGAGTAGCGGCCACTGTGCTGACCACCACCGCCAACTGTAACCTACAATATCCCATCCAGGCGCTGGCGCAACACGGACTGCAGGTGAGTTATGCGGGGTCGGGGATGCAGGTTCCCACTAGGGTATAGCGAAGTAGTGCAACACAAATCTACAAACTTGTTTATGATAACAATCTTTTTGGGAACGGAAGTACTATGGAATAAATAGAGAAAATCCTTCAGAATATACAGAAATATAGGGAATCCTTAGGAATACTTTTCAAAACCTGTGGTGCAGAAACCACCAATAAGAAATCTCATATCGAATTCGGATACGAGAGTTAGCGATAAGAAGGGTCCCATGGGATACAGAAACTCACCCTATCGAATTTGTTATCTGTACTATTTAACCAAAATTTAGTTTGAGAAAACGTTGGGATAGAAACTTTAAAAATTGAATGCACTCTATTATTTATTTATTGAGAATCATGTGCTTTTTAAGAGCTCCAAAAATCCATATTCTTATGTTATCATTTAAAATTTATTAGATTGGTTTGTAAATTTAAATCTATTGCTTTCAATAATAATTATAGGAATACATTTAAAGTATTATTGTATTTTCTAAGGATATGAGAGTTTGAATTTTAAATAAGAATGGCATTTAATAAAACTAGCATTCCATAATCAAATGGCATGACCCATGTAAATAAAGCTTTTGTGTTCAATATGGTGATCCTATCTTACTAATTTAGAATCGTTTTAGGTTTGGTTGACTTGTTAACTAGAATGAATAAACTGGAAGAACTCTTTATGCAAAACACAGATAGTTCATTAACCTTTTTTACATAAATTAAAACTTCGATTCACCAATATAAATTGAGCATAGGGTTTAGTTTGAGTTTGTAAACTTAATTGCAAGCTGATTATAAAAATAATAATATTAAAGACTAGAGAAATCGTGGACCTATCAATTGGGTAAATCAGTTTTAAGTGTGAGAGCTAGTTTTCCACCACGAAAGAACCTACCTAATCAATTACGTTCCCGGCAAGTACTGATGGCGCAACCTCCTCTTTCGCACAGGTGCAGTCGGTGATACAGGCGAATCCCTCGGGGGTCATACAGACGGCAGCGGGAACCCAGCAGCAGCAGCAGGCGCTGTCCGCCGCAACGGCGATGCACAAGGTGGTCTACGTGGCCAAGCCGCCCAACTCGACGGTCATCCACACGACGCCCGGCAATGCAGTGCAAGTGCGTAATAAAGTGCGTAGCTCGGCGAGCGCTTATCGAGTTGACCAGAATTATACTAATGCCCTCGTTTCTTCTTAACCTCCGATCCGTAACAGATCCCTCCAACCTTTCCGTGTAAGATCAAACCCGAACCGACCACGCAGCATCCGGAGGACAGCGACGAGAGTCTGACGGACGACGATTCCCAGCACCACCGCAGCGAGCTGACGCGACGGCCGTCGTACAATAAGATCTTCACCGAGATCAGCGGACCCGACATGAGCGGTAAATTCCGGGCGGACGATCTCTGTCTCACCCACAAATCAAACACACATATCTGTCGGTCTTCAAAAACTGAAAAAAAAAAAGAAAACACTTATCGCCTAACAAAAAAAAAACCAACGCATCGCCGAGCTGATCGCCCCTCTCATCGTTCATTCCAAGATGCACTTGCGCCTGGCGCTCGTTTGGTCACTTCCAAATGACTGGGTGATCAGTCAGTCCATTTGAATCCATCGAAAATCATTCCCCAGTGTTTGTAACCCCACATCCACCACCCCCATTCATTTTGTACAGTTGCGGTTGGCCAAATAACACTGTAAACACTCGTTGTAGTGCGCTTTAGCAAGAGATCCATTCCAAAATCATTAGTACAAACTATTAGATGGTTTTCATAACGCTCTCTATTGAAATTCGGAATACAAATCAAAATGTTTTAATATCAAGCATTGCTACAAAAACAAATAACATAATAATGATTAATACATACGATTTGAGTTGTTTTATATCGAAAATAGTTTTGTTTTTCCGATGGTTTACCATAGACATATCAGCTATTTATCAATATGAGGCCTAGTGTCCGTTGTACATATGCTGTATATATTTGTATCCTGATCATTAATAGCTAATCTGAATAGGGTATACAGCATTTTTATCAAAACATTAAATTATAAACGTATTTCAAAACGTATTTTTGAGATCTATTAAGGACTCTTTTTTTAATTTTGGACATGTATCTAGTTTTTTCTTTATTGTTTTTTTTTTCGGATCTTAACATACAATAATATAGATTCTGAGGGCTTCCTGTCGTATCCTTTTTACACCATCATGAAGTACCGTTAGAGCAGCCTTACAAGAGTGAGCCCCGCCCCTTTTTCGATCCATTCATTGTCATTTAGTTGATGTTGTTGTTGGTGTTGCTTTAACGAAGTGGACATAATTAAAAAGAATATAAGAGCGGAAAAACTTGAAATGAAAAATGGAAAACAAAAAGAAAAAAACACGCGTTGTAGGGATTCCCAGATTTATAAATATTACTGTAAATAAACCTTTTCACCGACTCACTCGCACCTTCTCACAAATACACTCTCACACACAAAGGAAGAGGACAGCAACAATAAATAAATCGAATGAATGGTATTTACAGTAATTTAATCATACAAAAATTATTATTGTTGCTGTTTTCTGAACGCCTCCTTTCAAACACCTTGCCCTCTCCCGCCCTCTCTCTCTTTCGCTATATCTTCCCCTCTATTTCGCTCTCTGTCGTTGTTGTTGCTGTAATCGCTGTTGTTGTTGTTGTTGCTGTTGTTGTTACACACACAACCCATCATGCAAAATATTAAATAAAAATAATAATAAACCAAATTTACAACCAACCTCTCGCTCACCTAACAGTAATTTATCGTTAACAAAAAAAAAAAACCCCACTCTTTTTCACTAACCAAAACAACCTATTTCGCTCGCTCGCTCGCCGCTCTCGCTCGCACTCACTCATTCATAAATCAAAAAAAAAAATCTGTTTAAAAATTCAAAACTTTCAATCGAAATGTGTTTTCTTATAATTTTTATTGTTGTTTTTTTTTTCATTGTTTTCTTTTCGAACGCCTTCCTCCACCCAATCCAAAAACTAAAAAAAAAAAAAAAAAAAAAAAAAAATAACTATGTCCTGAACAACAACCGCAACAACAACAACAAATCAACAACAATCGACAACTAAATTCCCAAACCGAATTAAAATCGGAATCTGAATCGGATTTGAACCCGATCCCAGGCGCACCACTTCCCATGTCCGAAGGCGTGCTCAGTTCCCAACTGGCGGGGAGTGGAGCGGGGGGCAATCCGGCGAACAGCTCCCTGATGCAGTTGGATCCCACGTACTACCTGTCCAATCGGATGTCCTACAACACCAGTAATAGACTCGGTCCAATAAACAGTAGAATTTGTTAGGACATTATGGCGGAACTTTGTAAATCGAACTTTGTATTTCAGAATATTCAAAACTTTTCTTTTTTTTATGATTTTTGTTTTAAAAAACCTATAAGGAAACCTTTTTCTTTAATATCAAACAAAAATATTCATCTTAATACTTAAGTTTATATTATTCAAATTATAAATTTCCTATATAGATAATAACTTGTCAAATGTTAACTACAATTTTTTTTATTGTGTTGAGATATTTATCATCCAATATTTCCAAGCCTTTCACTAAATTTGGAATATTTTGAATGAAAATCGAAAGCGCAATGACAAGAAACCTGTAAAAATATTTCAGAAGTTGTCAACTTAAAATTTATTATAGCAGTGCTCAACGAATTTCGAATCTTAAAACGAACGCCAATAAATTGACAACTAGAGGCGATGCCAAAAAAAAGTAAATAACAATACAGTTCGACTTACAAAGGGGTTTCGCCTTGAAAAGATAGGCTTTAGAATTTGGTAACTAATCATATTTCCACCATATTCTATTGCAGACAATAGCGGTATTGCGGAGGATCAGACCCGTAAGCGCGAAATCCGGCTGCAGAAGAACAGGGAGGCGGCGCGCGAGTGCCGGCGCAAGAAGAAGGAGTACATCAAGTGCCTGGAGAATCGAGTGGCGGTGCTAGAGAACCAAAATAAAGCGCTCATCGAGGAGCTCAAGTCGCTCAAGGAGCTCTACTGTCAGACCAAGAACGATTGAATGTGGGCGCGGCTCTGGCGCCGCCTGCGCCTTCGCCACCATCGCCACCGCCTCCAGTTTCGTTTACGGTTACGGTTACGGTTACGAAGGTTCCGGTTACGGCAACGGCAACGACAACGGCAATGGCGACGGCGACGACGGATGCGCTGCGGTTCCCGTTCTGGTTAACGCCCGACAGCAGCGATGGATCGATCCCCCATCCGCCCCGTTGGCCGGCCGCATATCATGATTTATATACGTATAGGATGATGCTATATGTGGTAGCGTGTACATTAACTGTATGATCTGTATGATGAGGGATCGTGTTGTTGTTGTTAGGACAGCGGACGGACGGTTAGGTGGTGGAACATACACACACACACACACTACCACACACCTACCTGCCGAACGTAGCGATCAGAACACACACACACACACACAATGTAATTATGTTTATAATTTAATGATGTAATATTATGTTAATGATTTAGTTTATGCCTTAGTTTATTTGCTAATTTAACGATACTGGAGTTTACCTACGAACATGTGTTTCTGTATCCTAAGCCTTTTTACCAACATATATCCCACGGATTACCCCAAAATCCCGACAACCGACACCCCTTTTGTAATTAAATTTTTTTTGTTTTACCTAATTCGTAATTTACTGCAGGACGTGCGTGTCTAGCGAAAAGTGTTTTTTCTTAGCGAATTGTTGTAAGCCAATATGTCAGGAGATAGTCAACCAACCCCCACGGATTTGCAGAATATTGTAGGATGGATAGGTAGAAATGAAATGAAAAGAAAAGAAATGAAAGCGAGGAAAACGGTTTTCTGAGCCTCCCAAAATTCAAATTGTTCAAAGAAAAAAAATCACAAGTTTCACTTGATTTATGTTTGTTGTGTATGTACGTGTGGTCCGCCCGATTCTAACGGTAAAATTAGGTTTTAATAGCACAATCCATCTGGGATTCGAGCATGGAATTCAAACACTTTGTTGCATAATTTTAAACGAATCGAAAGAAGGCTCCCAACTCCCGCTTTTCCCGAACAAAACGGTTTATATGTAATTCTATATACTATTATGCGTAGTTAGCAAACACTCTTTTGTATTTTGTGGATCTTGTTTGTCATCGAAGGGGTATATGTGTAGGGTAGTCCTGCCCTCGGCCGGAACACACGTATATACATATATGCTTTAAATATGAATATATAAAGCTAACACTCTCGTTATCTCTTGTGATCAACTCAGTTGTTGTTATGAATGGTAGAAAGCAGACGAAATGGGCGGAGAAAAAATACGATAAATTAATTACGATGAACGCGGGAGACGGAGATCGAACTTTTTTATCTAGCGTAGCGCAACGGAAACAATGTCAAAATGAAAACAAAAAAAAAAAACCGGAAACGGAAATAAAACCATAAGAAAGCATGTATATCTCTCTATTTTTGATGTCCGAATCAAAAGCTCTGCAAAAGGAGAAAACATACGAAAAAAAAGTAAAAAACAGAGAACCAGGCAAAAGAAAACGGAACGAGAACTCAAAGAGCAGCTTTTTTTTGGCCAAGTCTAAAGAATGGGAAAGGCAGAAATTGAAATGAAAACAAACAAAAGTTGCATTCAACAAAGTAAATAAATATTTTTATTGTCATTGCATAATTCTTAAGCTAGTAATTTTAATATCTAAATCGTAAGCGCGGAAAAACAAAGTAAATAAAAACAAATGAATGGAGCCACAGCCCGAAGAAAACGAGACGAGAATCGAGAGAAGGGAAACTAAGAGAAAGGCAAAAACAAAGAGGAACGAAAAACAGAGAGATCAGTAGAAATTACAATATTGTTATAAATATTTGTCTCAATGAGAAAACAAACAAAAACAACAAACAAACAAAAGCAAAACAAACCAACAACAAAGAAAATATACATTAAAAAATCAATAAAAAATATTTGAAAAAGCAAGTGGCGTCGTCTTTTTAAAGGATATTTGTTGGGTTTTGTACAAATTTTCAGGGATAAACAATTAATGAATTACAATCTAAACAATTAATATAAACCCCTTACCGAATTATTTAAATGTGCATTTCCTAGAAATTTGATCTCAACGCTTAAAGGCGCTCATAATTGTTTATGTGTTTGATTCCTGTGAATCAAATTGTTTATGTTTACAATGTGAATCAAATTGTTTATGTTTAGAATTTCTTGATAGACCAAACACAGACGATAAAACATGAGCCATGGAACCGGATTCCTAGGTTTACATATTTGTCCTCCAAAGAAAATGTGTCTCTATGCATTTATAAATATGTACATATGTATTTTGCATTTTATATATACATATTTTCTTTTGGATTCGGACAATCATAAATTGCATAAATTGATCTTTGCAATCGAATACTTTATAGGCTTATTTACTTGTCTGAACACCAAAGCTCCCATTCTTCGAATAGAATTTCCATCTCTCTCGAAACCATGAAACCAAGATGACCCACTTTACTTCCCCGCGCCACAAGAACATAATACTTTCGTCACATCCGTTTCACAGAATGATTTTTAATGTTAAGTACTCACACAGCACACACAAAAACTACGAGATACAAAAAGTACAAATGGATGCGGTTAAGATTACAATTATAAATACGTGTAGATCAGTCATAGCGAGTATTGGGGCTGGATCCCCTGTTGATTCCCTGTCTACGAGATGAACAAGTAGAGGACGAAGGTGCCAGCGCCGATATAATGGCTAAGATATCCCGCCTGCTGCCAGTGCCAGAGGAAGTTGTCCGATTCATCACTCGATTCGACTTCAAGGGCATCGCCCAGCAGAACGACACCCAAGTAAGCCAGATGGAAGATGGCCAATGCGGTGAAGGCCAGATTGGCCGCCCGCACCAGCCAATAGGATATGGAGCTCCAGCCACGTTTGCTCGAGCACCTCGAGTACCGACATCGCTCCTTTCCTGGACAGAGATTCGACGAAATGCAGGCGTCCAAAGTGTTGGAAAGGTGCCGCCGCAGCAGGGACTCCCCTTCGGCGAAGACGGCCAGCGAGATGAGCACCAGATAGATGCGCAGATCCATGCCATGCAGCAGGCTGGACACAAGGTAGGTGCAGAACACACTCAACACGATGCGACCCCTCGATCCGTCCGCCTTGCAGGGCGCATAGATGTACCGCTTGAGCCACTCGTGCATGGGAATGTTCCAACTCCGGACCAGCGCGCTGATCGATCGCGGCCACTCGATGAGCCACGGCTGCGAGACGAGCGGTCCGAGCAGCGGCGATTCCTCGACAGAGCCGTCCAGCTTTTGATCGGCGGCCACCAGCAGCGCCTGCGCCATGATGGCCACAAAGTAGTGGCTAAAGCGCACGCTCAACGCATCCCAGTACATCACCAAGAAGTGTGAACTGTCGCCAAAGAAGTCGCTCAGCGCTGGCGCCAAACAATTGGACACGATCACGGCAAGGACGCAGAGCAGGACGTTGGGCACCAGGCGACGCAGGCTGACCAGCCAACTGTTGCGCGGCACCAAACAGTCCATGTAGCTGCCGAAGCTCACCCAGGGACCCAGAGCACAGGTGGCCGGACTGTATAGGTAGCCCAGGTAAGCCAGCGAGCCGGGGATCCTCGCCTGCAGCTGGCCACTGCCAGCGGTCAAGTCGAATCCCAGCGAGATGAGCTTCATGTTCACCACCATCTGGATGCCGCGCAGCTGCGGCCAATCGCTGCGTCCCCGCCAGAGGAGCAGTTCGTAGAGGAACTGGCTGCCGACGGTGAGGATGGCCAGGATGCGGGCTCCCTGGCGACCCAATCGCAGAAGTTGGAGCAGCAGGTAGCCCACGGCGGCCAGCAGGAGGAGCAGGAACAGTCGATAGCCCACGGAGAACTGCAGCAGGATCAGGCCGCAGATGAAGTGCAGCAGGTGCAGCGGCGCCAGACTGGTGAGCCTCTTGCGCTGCGAGTAGAGGAGACAGAGGTGGCGGCACAGCAGGCAAAGGAGCAGCATGGGCGTCACATATTGGAGGACCTGCAGCAGCGAGGGCTCCACGCAGGTGAGCAGGCTCTCACGGAATCGCTCGGCCAGGCCGAGGAGTCCATGGCTGTAGTCATCGCTCTCCTCCGCCTCCTCGCCGCCCATATAGTAATCCTCCTCGTCCTCGGGCTTCCCGAATCTGTAGTCCAAGCCACCGGCCGCCTCCCCCAGCTCATCGTCCTCGTCCTCGTCCAGATCGATGTAGTCCGACTCCTCCTCGAAGTACTGGTAGTCCATTGCCGGCCGCCCAACGCCAATCGAATCCGGGGAATCAACGAAAAACCCGGCAATCGGAGGACTTGGTCCGCAATGCCAGGAATATACCACGAAATATACCGCAAATATACCAAGAGAGCGGCCTTGATTTTAAACAGAAATGGCATTCCAGCTATTTTAAAGCTACATTTTAGTGCCGTCATTTAGCTTATCCTTCCTTATTCCTTTTTCTAATGTTTTTAACATCTTAAATTCTTGTAAATCCGTGGACAATAAAAAGATTTTATATTTCTAACCCCGAATATAAAATAAATATTTATACATTCATGTTTTTTTGTTCCACACCTCACCAGTTAATACAATGTAGAAGTTATATCATGCTCGAATATTTGTTGTTACTATGACGAAGAAGAATTTTGATGTTAAGAATTGTTTATGTTAATTAATGTTATAATTTGATTTGTTTAATTGTAAGACAAACTATATAATATATATACAACTTCACCTAGTGATACAATGTAGAAGTTAAATTATGTGCAAATTTCTGTTGTTACTATCACTTATGAAGAATTTTTTCTGTTAATAATTGTTTATTTTAGTTAATGTTATACTTTGATTTATTTAATTCTAAAGCATCCAGAAAACCTACATTTTTCTAACGCATATGAACTCGCATCGAAACATTTAAATTTTTTTTTTAAACTTCAAAATGCAACAAGTTTTTCAGCAATGTACTTTTAAAGTGTTGCTTTTTTTCAAATTAAAATATTTGTTTAATTCACAAGATACATGTATAATTGGAAAACGAAGACGGATCGTCTAACATGAACAAAATAAAAATAATAAATAACACTACCATGAATATCAGGGTACTTGGGGTTGGTATATTTTAACGAACAAGGGACGGTCACACTGTCAACTTAAATAAACTATTTGTTGAGATATTTCCTTTACGTATTCTTAGTTATCCTGCTAAATGACGCGCCACGCCCGCAACTGTACGGCCGGAGCCGTGTACACCTACAACGAGAAGAAGCGCGATGCGGCGGAGTCCGGTTACGGAACGAATGCACAGCGCTTGGGCAAGGATTCGGTGAAATCCTTCGACTGCTGCTCGCTGACGCTGCAGCCGTGCCGTCGTCCAGTGATCACCAAGGATGGCTATCTCTTCGACAAGGAGGCCATCCTGCAGTACATCGTGACCAAGAAGAACGAGTACAGCCGCCGGCTGAAGGAGTATGAGCGTTTGCGACGCGCCGAGGAGGATCAGCTCAGCCAGGAGGCGAACAGCAAACAGCAGGCGCGCATGGAGCGTTTTGTCAACGCCGAGAAGCCAGCGATGACACCTGCCCACACGGCCGCCGTTAGCGAGAAGCCCTCCACTTCATCGGCCGCCGCCGGAGCTTCATCCTCGTCTTCCGCTGCCTCCTCTTCCTCGTCCGCTTCTTCCATCTCGAACATGACCAACGGTCACGAGAAGAAGCTGCCCAGCTTCTGGCTGCCCTCCGAGTGTCCCAATGCCGGGGTGGCCAAGGCCCAGAAGCCCGATGCCACCATCTACTGCCCGGTGTCGCAGCAACCGTTGCGAGTCAAGGATCTAATCGATGTGAAGTTCACGCTGCTCAAGGATGGCGACTCCAAGCGATCGCTGATCGCCAAGGAGGCGCGCTACATGTGTCCCATCACCCACGACGTGCTCAGCAATGCGGTGCCTTGTGCCGTGCTGCGACCAACGTGAGTTCTTTCGGGGATTTAACTTGGAAATCATTGTATTACTCTTAATATTTTCTTTTCTATAAAGTGGCGATGTGGTGACCATGGAGTGCGTGGAGCGACTGATCAGGAAGGACATGATCCATCCGCTGACCGATCGCAAGCTCAAGGAGAAGGACATCATTCCCCTGCAGCGAGTAAGTGCATCTTGAGTTCTGTATTTGTTTTTTTGTTATTAAGGATGTTTCGTATTTCGTTTTTTTGCAGGGCGGCACTGGATATTCCACCACCAACGACAACCTGCAGGCCAAAGAAAAGCGTCCCATGCTTCAGGTCTAAGACGAATTTCCCTTATCTACAGTTATTTAAGCCCAATTCACAGAAATTGTCTACACATAGAAATCAAAAAGAAGCATTACATTCAAGCAGGAATTTAAAAACAAATAGTTGTGAAATTTTAGATTGTACATAGGCTTTCTAACTCTTCAAATTATGATGTCCTTTTAGTAATTCACCTTTAACTCATTTTATGTTAGTCTTAAAAAAGTACAAAAATACTTTTAGTGCCACTCTACAAATGTGTTATATTAAATTTGATCTGGATAATTATATTCCATAAATAGAATCAAAACCACTACACAAGTAATTGTAAAAATCAATTGACTCGCAAGAGAGTTTACAATAAAATCTGTACCAAATTGTAAAAATAAAATGTTGCATTAAATCATTAAATGTCATTTTACCTAAAAGCAAGCTTTTATTATTATAAAACTAAAACATATTTTAAATTTCAGGTATTTGTAAACGGATTAAATGTTTAATTTGCTATTGGCCAATCAAATTTCGAAAGGAAATAACAAAGTTTCCCTGCTTTAAATAAAATAAAAACGAAGTCTGCCTGATTATAAGAATTTATAAAATGAATTTTTATTTAAGCAGAATAGACCGTTGTTATGTAAATAAATTTTATTTGAGATTTTTAAATTTCAAGGAAGAATACGAATCGTTTTAAATGTAAACCAAAGCTCAAGTTTTCAAACAATGTTTTTCCAAATATATATCAAAATATGCACACAAATTAATATTTAATAGATACATATAATGTGATATTTATTTTTGGGTTTTGAGACTTGTGTTTCGGTTATGGCAAGCAGTCCCAACAGACCCTCTCAAATGAAAATACTCCCATATTCTGGGGGTTAAGGTATAATATATATTCTTTATGCATAAGTGTAACGTGTAATGTAAATTGAAGAAGTTGCAGCTGGCGGAATGCGGGCGGGAGCCGAATACGTCGTCTAGATGCATCGCTCCTTGTGGTGGCTGGTCGTCCACGTCCAGTTCCACGTCCACTAGGCCGCCTGCACCGACTGCTTCTGCGAGGAGCTGATCTTGTCGCCCAGACTCAAGGCCATGCCCTGGAAAGCAAGTCCATATTAGAGGGTGCAAGTCCAACTGAAATAGAACCCAATTCTCACCTGACTCTTGGCGCGAATGCGTATGTGTCCCGTCACCTTGGAATCGGGATCATCCACGGGCTTTTCGATGCTCAGATTGGCCAAGGCGTTCTCTCCAAAGATGGACCTACAATACAAGATAGCAATGGAATGATTTGAGATCCTTTTAACTGGACAACTAGATACCCACTTGGCGTACATGTTGGCGGCCATGAAGCCACATTGACCGGACAGCGCCTTCTCCGGCGTGAGGCACTTCATGTTGGTGCTCTTCAGCAGGTGCTTGAGATATTCGTGCAGGTCGGTGAAGCTGGTGTTGACGGTCACCTTGTTCTCCCACTCAAAGTCCTGCCACATCTGGCGGAACTCGGTGTCCGTGCAGCTGGCCGGAATGATGTAGTCCATGATGTCGATGTGAATGGTATTGAGCACCACCACATTCGTATTCAGAGCGGTGTCGTATACTATACGAAAAGAGGGCAACACAGTTACGGATACAATCTCTGCCAGAAACTCCCTCGATTCACTTACCAATATTGCCGAAAATAATGCCATTCTCTGTGGAGGAAACCTTGACATTAGCCTTGATGTTGCAGAAGTCGTGCGGTGCCAGAACCACCGGATGCGGGCGTTCCACCAGCTTAAGATCGCCCAACGTGGCCAATTCCAGTGTGCAGTTTTGCAGCGTGTCGTCTGAAAGTGATTCAATTGATTTAAGTGACTCCTTAATGGGGAAAATAGGATAACTTACTGGTCTGGTTGACGATCAGCACGTCGAGCACAATGTCGTACTGGTTGACATTCACGTAGGCCTCGGCGTACACGGGATCCGAGAAGCCCGTCAGCTGGGTGACCTTGTTGAGCTTGCTGTTCGGCGAGGCCACGTCGCTCAGCTGAGCGTTCTTGCTGCCCGCCAGCGCCTGATTCAAACTGGACTCGAATACATTCTCGCCCAGCTGATTGTCGCGTCCATTCGAGAGCTGTGCAAAGAGCACGGGATCGTCGGGCTGCACCTTCGCGGTGGCCTTCTGCTTCTCCTTCAGCATGCGCTGATCCTCGTCGTGCTGGGCATCCAGCATCTTGCCAAGTGCCTCGCGGCAATACAGGGTGAAAACGGCCACCGCTTCGGGTGTGCGTTCGCTAAGCGTGCGCAGGCAGACGAAGATGCGGTCGGTGTCGTCGTTGGTGATCGGCTTGCTGGGAAAGCCGGACTTGCCCAGGTGCAGGATGGAGCTCATGATCAGCATCACCTGCGTGGTCAGACGGTTCTGGGCGCGTGCCTCCGGCTGCAATTCCGCGTAGCGCAGTGCCAACTTGGTCAACGTGGCCGAAAGAGCGGCGCCGATGAAGAAGTCGCCGTCCATCAAGTACTGGCGCAAAGGCGGTCGCTTCTCGGCCTTGGCCACCCTGCAAAAAGGACAAACAGGGATTAGGAAGCCATTTTAAATTGGTCAGAAGTGGGTAACAACTCAAAACATAAAGTAAACAAATATAAAGCGCTACGTATTCCTATGACTCATCACAAACAATGGGCAATGTTCATATCTAGTTGATAAAACTAAGAACTAAGAAGCTTCCAAAGAGCATAAATCCGAAAACTAATGAGTTGGCTCCACGTAGCCACTACTTACGGGGCCAGACTGTAGGCGCTCTGGGTGGCGTAGGTTCCATCGGAGGTGACCTTGTTGCTGGCATTTCCCGAGCCCTCGGCGGACTCGGTCGCCTGCTGCTGCTGCTTCTGCTCCTCCGTTTGATCGCCGGCCAAGCGACGCTGCTCGGCCTCCACCATGGGCACATCGCCCAGCGTCTGCTGGATGACGGCAATCACCTCGAGGATCTGCGGTCCCTCCACGTACTCGCCCAGAATCCAAACGGCGGCGCGATGAATCTTCGAGGACTTGATCTGCGGGAAGGCCTCAATCAAATGCTCAATAATCAGAGCTCGCAGTGCGGGGAACTTCTGGATGGCCTCGCGAATGAAGACCAACACATCGGCGGCAGCCAGTTCGTTTGTATCGGAGAGGAACTCCACCAGCACGGGTATAACATTGGCCGCCACGTCGGGGAACTTGATCGAACAGGTGTGCAGGGTGCGGACCAGCAGTTGCCGATACTTGCCGGTGTCCTCGTGCTCCACGTTGTGCGTTTTGGCCACCTCCTTCTTCAGAACGAGCACCATTTCACCAATGTTCCGGGAGTAGACCAAATCCAAGGCCAGTGCGAGTGTTTTCCTGCGCACCTCGATGTCTGGAGCGGCCAGAACTCGCAGCACATCCATAACGAGATCCTGCATGACCTTCTCCATGCCCTCGTGCTCCTTCATGGCCACCAGGCGATCCAACACAATCAGCTTGACATTGTTGTCGCTCTCCTTCACCACCAGCTCGATGTAGCAGCTGGCCGCCGCCTTGATGGCCGTGGGCGCCAGCGAAAGAGTAATCAAAGTGCCGGCGGATTCGTAACGCACGGCATTCGAGCTGGAGTTCAGCAGATTGTAGATGCAGCGGATGAAGCGCGAGCGCTCGGCGGGATTCGCGTGGCAGACCTTGTAGATCAGCTCGACGATGACCAGCTGCAGGATGTCCCCAAAAGTGTGCACCTGGTCGATGCAGCTGGCCAAATAGTTGAGCGCGCGCTCCTGATCGGCGTGCAAAAGCATGAGGAAGGCGTTCCGCTTGCAGCTCATGTCCTGCTGCGTGTCCAGGAAGCTGGCAATCAGCTCTGGGCCATCGGGCACCAGCCAATCGAAGTTCTTGTAGATGGTGAAGATGGCCAAAACGGCGTTGCGTCGAACGTACGAGTGCCGGTGGTCGAGGCAAGCGCGAATGGCCGGCATGAGGGGTTCCAGCAGCTCCGGCTCCTTCAGCTTGCACAGGAAACGCAGCGTGGAGCCGCGTAGAAACTCATTGGGGTGCTGCAAGTCCTTGCGGTAAGCATCGCACACCAGAATCATCTCCTGCAGCAGCTTTCCATCCGCCGAGGTTTTGGGTACGATTTCCCAGAAGATGAGGAGCAGCTTCTTGATCGTGTGATTCTGCACGGGCAGGACGAAGCGGATAATGGTCATGATCAGGCCGGGATAGCGCTCCCCGTTCAGCAGCAGCTTGATCACCCGCTTCAGCGTCTCGATCTTCACGTTTGTGTCGCCCTTCTCGAGATCCTGCTTCAGCTGCATCTCGTTGGGCACCTCCAGATCCGGCGAGTTGATTATCGTGTAGCACGGCACTTGCGACGTCATCGTGGCTGCCTTCTTGTTAAGCCTGATATTCCCAACGTTTCCCAATTTCCCGAATTTCCCAATTTACACCTTTTCTTCTTTTTGGTCTCTCCGACGTGTCACTTGATTCGGGTGTGCCTGTGCGAGGCGGCGACCGAAAATACCACACCGCTAGCACAAGCGCCAACCAGGGCTGGCTGTGGTGCTCAGCCATGTTCCGCACCCCCTGTTAACACACCCTGTGGATAACGGGGCGGGAATTTCAAATTCTCACATTTAACAGAGCCCATCGCTTTCAGCTAAATAATTTTATCTAATTTAAGTTGAGTTGGGTACATTAATTAAGCATAAAATAAATGGATCTCCTAGGCGTACTTAAATTATTTACATTTGAACTACTTAAACTGGTAAACGGTTTATACCAGTCATTTCTTTTAACTTTAAAAAATATATATTAAGATATTATATTAAACACTGTAGAATCATTTGCTTTATCTATTCAATCTTATAAAATTATTCAGATGCCATTTAAAATAAAATATCTCATTAATATTTTTGTCTTTTTTATGAAAACATTTTTGCATTCAATTTATTTGGCTCTGATTTCTACCTTTATTAAGTAAACAAAAAAATGTGAATTTCTTTTTGTTTGTATAATAAATCATGGTTGTCGTGCGGTCTTGTCTATAATTTTTGGCATTCTAAAGTGATAAGCTTTGATTGCAATCCGTGAAAATAAAGTCCCCAATTATTTCGGTGTCTTCGTGAATTTCAAGTGTGATTTCCCTAGCTAATTATTGTGGTATATAATATGGCAAATTTAAAACATTAATGGTTAATTTTTAAGGCACTTGTGTTTTGGGTGCGGAGAAACAATAAATTCGCTACTGAAAAACTATTCACGTATTCCCTGACAACAGTGCAGTTTTTTTTCTTTTTTTGTTGGGTAAGGCTCTGCTACCTGGCTGCAGATAGCCTCCATGTCAGAGGATTGCTGATAAGGCTCTAACCCCAAGGCAAATGGGAAAAATCCCAACCCATTGCCATCCGGGTGATTCCCATCCGCTGGCGAGGCTTTCGACCTTGCCTTTCGCCATGCAAGCGGCATAATAAACAATCTAATTCTGTTCGATTCCACTGGAGAGATCCCCCGCCCACGACTGTGGGCCTTTTGTGATCTCGTTTTGCACTTCATCGCTCAATTGCCGCCCACCACTTGACCACATTACCCGCCCCCCATGGCCACGCCCCCCGGCCGCCTTTGCGCACCGCCTGCATCTTAAGCAGGCCTACAATTCGCACAGCGGCTTTGTTGTTTTCGCCAGGGGAATAACTCTAGAGAGTCTCGCTTCTGTCTTTTCCCTTCGTCTTCATATTTACTGCACTTGGAGGACGCGGGTGACCAGCTAGGTGATCCCATCAAATCCCGCCCGTGGAACAGGTTCTGCGCCCGGCCTGAATAAACAAATCCCCTGATAGCGAGGCGAACGAAATGAAATAAATAAAACTAGAGACGACATCGTAAGGGGAGAGGTCGAATATCGAGGATACCCTTTCAATTACGAGATAAAATTTGGAAGAAATTTGTAATAGTTTATAAAGTTTAAAGTTAGTTCTCTTATGTTCAAAACAAATTATACAAAATATTAAATATGGTTTTTAAATGAATTTTAATTAAAATATATGTAGGGTATACAAAAAGTATATAAATTATTTGATATTTTTTATATGCCTATTACACCTAATATATTGAATGCTAAATCTTTACTTTTTATCATATGATATTCAAATAATTTTCATCCAACTTGGATAAAAATCAATGATAGCCCCTTGAAGAGTATAACTGAAAGGCAATTACTCTTAATTTGTTTATTTCCCAGAAAAGTGAATTTAAATCAGCCAAATCGCTAGATGAATGCAAATCAAAACCAAACAACATCTGTGAAAGTAAAAAATAGGTGTGCAAAAACTGAGAACTCGACACAATAAAGACTTAGTTTTGGATTGCAAAGTGCTCTTATAAAATATATGTATGTATATTCCTATTCCTATATGTATATTCTGGATAAAGGGCTCAATTCGCATGAGTGATTAATTGATAATAGAAAACCAAAGGGTCAATATTCAACCTAAAAATTGGACTAGCTGTGAACCCGAATTCTAAAGTATATAAAACGTTATCTTGCAGAAAAAAGTGATGAGCGACCGTGATTCTGTAAAAAAAAGTCACGCAGAAAACAAATGAAATCCGAAAAACTAGAAATAAGCCGACCAAAGGTTTTGGATTACAAAGTGCTCCTATAAAATAGATGTACATATACTTCTCTGGATAAAGGGCTCACTTTGCATGATTAATGTTTTGCTTAAAGGGAATAATAATATTATTATTAGTATTATAAACAACCCCTGTAGAGGTGACTTAACCGGTTACGGCAGAGATAATAAACTGATTTTGCTACCCTATTTGGAATCAAATCAATTCATAAGAATACTCTATATAGACGCAGTGCAACAAACCGCTTGGTTATCATTCGTATAATTGAAAAAGTACCCCAAAGTCTTGGCAAATAACGAGTGTACTATATATGCACCGATCGATTAGGGGATCAAGTGCCAAGACAATTAATTGAAGAGGGAGGCTGTTTTTCTCAAATTTCGAAAGGTGCTGTGCGACGGCAATTAAAGTACAATATAGTATAAACTATAATTTCAAACGCTTACAAGCGGTTTGCTCAAAAAATTACTAAGAAAGCTTAAATTAATACAGTCAAGAGAAAGTTTAGGTGTTTGTTCTTTGATGGATTGACTGATCTTTGACAAGAACTCGAAACGAAGTACAAAATCTGCGAATGCCCCGAGCAAAATTCTGACTTCGATCGATCATCTATATTATTCTTAAATTCACAGCCGAGATTGCCGGGTCGAACTTAAGGTAGATCATGGACAGAAAAGTACATTAAACGGATGGCGAATATGTTATAGATTTAATGCGCCGGCCATATATCAGTGTCGCAAACTCGTTTCTACCGGAGGATAGGCCTGGATCCCCACCCACTCACGCCCCCTTTGACCCCGCCCCCCTCTGAAATATAAAAACCGGTACTTGACTGTCTTTCTTTATTATAACTATTAGTTTTATTACTTCGGACAAACACACACACACAGAAATGCTAAAGAGAACAAACAAATGCAAAAGTATATATAATATATATCTGTGGCTATAGCTATATAAGAAAAAGAGCAAGAAAGCCGGGGGAAGAAGCAGCGCAATCCGGTGGCTATAAAAACGAGCAGCCGGCTTTGGATTCTCCACAGTCGAGCTTCAACTGTTCTGAGATGATGTCGCCGTGGGAGAATCGCATTTGGCTGCCTCTGGCGGTGGCCACCCTTCTGGTGCTCCTGGCCCCACACTCCTCCCTTGCCGAGGAGCCCATCTGTAGGTTATTGCCATCTGATCCGTTGAATCTAAATCTAATCTAAAGCCTCGAATCCCCCCGCAGATCGCCTCTGCGTGCCCCAAATTTACTTGGCCGAATGCCAGCAGCTCCTCGCTGATCCTTCGGAGGCGGGCATCCGGATGGAGTGCGTCGCTGGACGGGATCGGGTGGACTGCCTGGAGCTGATCGAGCAGCGGAAGGCCGATGTGCTGGCCACCGAGCCGGAGGACATGTACATCGCCTACCATCGCAAGAACGAGGACTACCGCGTCGTCTCCGAGATTCGCACGCAGCAGGACAAGGATGGTGAGTAATTCACTTTGAATTAATTTCTTTAACCTAAAAGTGAGAATAGCAGTGAAACCGATTTATAAAGTATGTATATTCAAGTGTATCTAGCTGGAAAAAAGAACAAAAGTGATAAGCGAACGTGATTCTATGCAAAATAAGGCACGCAGACAAGCAAATGAAATGCAAAAAACTTGAAATAAACAGAACGAAATTGTTTAACCCAAACAAATGATTTGGCAATGAGTGAGAAATACAAGCTAATGCATAATAATAATTAAAAAAGTGGGTTATTTAATAGAAAGAAATACATAATTAATTAACAAACTACACTAAACTCTGATTTTTGAGATTTGTTATATTGAAAAGATGAAAACAAGAGATACAATACTTTGTAGTTTACAATCTAAACTACTAAATTATCTTAAATAAATTTATAAGATTTATTAATCAATTTTATTGAATTTAATTAATATAAATTTATTAAAAGTACCTATCAATTTTGTTAGGTTCCTTTGTTTAGTAGAAATTTATGTGGGTAAGTTTAGTTTCTATGATTATTTTTGTTCGCTGTGAGGGTATTTTATTTGTTTGGAAAACGCAATCAGCTGCAGAAAAGTATTGAGCTAAAGTTACTGAAAGCCCAAAATGCTTGAAACTAAGTAATTAGTTATCATTATAATCTTCCAATATAGTTCCTTACTTACCAATTAACCTCCCCCGACAGCCGCCTTCCGCTACGAGGGCATCATCCTGGTGAAGAAGGACTCCCCCATCCGGACGCTGCAGCAGCTGCGCGGCGCCAAGTCCTGCCACACGGGATTCGGACGCAACGTGGGCTACAAGATCCCCATCACCAAGCTGAAGAACACGCACATCCTGAAGGTGTCCGCCGATCCGCAGATCTCCGCCACGGAGCGCGAGCTCAAATCGCTCTCGGAGTTCTTCAGCCAGTCCTGTCTGGTGGGCACCTACTCCACGCATCCGGACACGGATCGCCTGCTCAAGAAGAAGTACTCGAATCTGTGTGCGCTCTGCGAGAAGCCGGAGCAGTGCAACTATCCGGACAAGTTCTCCGGCTACGATGGCGCCATTCGCTGCTTGGACAAGGGACAGGGCGAGGTGGCCTTCAGCAAGGTGCAGTACATCAAGCGGTACTTCGGCTTGCCCGGCGCTGGAGCGGATGCCCCCCAACCGGAAGGGGATCCCGAGAAATTCGAGTACCTGTGCGAGGATGGCAGTCGACGACCGGTGACCGGACCCGCTTGCTCCTGGGCCCAGCGTCCCTGGAGCGGTTACATTTCCAACGAGAACGCCGTCCACAATGCGGAGCAACTGCATCAGCTGCAGTCGCGTCTGGAGCGATTCTTCGCCAATGGCTTGCAGGCACAGAACAAGGATGCCGCCGCCCATCTGCTCATCCAGCCGAACGCCGTTTACCACAGCAAGGACGCGGCCATCGATCCGAAGGTCTATCTGGAGCGGGCTGGCTACAAGGATGTGATCGAGCGGGATGGAAGTGCCATCAGGAAGATCCGGCTGTGCGCCCAGAACGACGACGAGTTCGCCAAGTGCCAGGCTCTGCACCAGGCGGCCTACGCCCGCGACGCTCGTCCCGAGTTGGAGTGCGTTCAGTCCACCGATTGCGTGGTGGCCCTTTCCAAGAAGGAGGCCGACCTGGCCGTGATCACCGCCAGGGGATACGCGGACGCACGCCGCAACCAGCTGCAGCCGGTGGTCTACGAGCAGCGGGACGACCAGGACGTCCTCGTCGCCGTCGCCGCTCCGGGAGTTACGAGGGAGGCCCTCCAGAAGGCCAGCATGTAAGTGGAAGTATATATAGTAGTTACATATATTTAAGTCTGGTGTACAGTAGCAGTTAGTGTTTCCAAACATAGAACAAGCATAAGGAAGCCTAACGTTCAGCGATGCTATAATTCCCAACCAGTTAAAGCTGAACGTGCGTGGAAATTTAAATTTAAAAGTTTTCAGATTTAGATTTATTACATTTTTAATAATTAGTTAAACACCAAAGTGAATCCCCTTTATACATTTCCATCCCCTTTCAAAGCCTGCCTCACTATAATTAATATTAGGTACTTCCAAGCCTCTAGAAAAATTATAAGAGGCTTTAAAAATGATTTAAAACGTACATCGTAATTTATGATCGTAGATCTCAAGTTCCCTTTTCAAATTATTTGAACGATTTGATTTATGAAGGCTTGACTTTCAAGCACTTCTGGGATATTTACATACTATGACAAACCCTGGGCTACTTTAAAATCAATTAGCGAATGATTCGTTGTGTAAAAAGGTGATTTATTTATGAACGGTCTCAATTCGATGCTATAATCAAGTCTTCAATCAATTAGTGATGTATAACTAAAGTGATAAATTATTTTATTTTGCAAATTAGCAAATTCGATGAGACTTGTGGACGTTCTCGAGTGGCCGCTGGGTTCCTGAACAAGCGACGTGGCTTGGACGCCTGTCGAGTGTCCTCCAGTCCGGATGGCGAGGTGCAGATCATTCCCGCCTCCGAGCTGGAGAAGCACAAGGACTCGCAGCTGGTGTGTCCCAGCTTGGAGCGCCAACCTGTCACCGAGTTCCGCACCTGCAACGTGGATGTCGTCCTGCCGCGAGCCATCTTCATCCGATCGGACACCACCAATGTGGAACAGGAGACGGTGAAGCATCTGTTCTCCTTGATCTCGGATAAGTTTGGAGCCCGTGGCAAGTTGGTGGATGTGTTTGCTTTGTTCGGGGAATTCCAGAAGGGCAAGAAGAACGTCTATTTCCACGTAAGTTTAACTTGTTATTCCCCTTGTTTGTCTAAAAATCTAGAAATATGTATTCTCCTCCAGGACAATGCTGTTCAACTGGCCACGGAGAAAAAGAGCGAAATCCAGGACGAGCAATTGTTTGCAGATCTCCAGTGCGAAAATAACAAGATCGGCAAGCAGTAAGCCGATTTTACCATTTAATTATTTTCCAAGCTCTCAATCTGCACCAATAAATTTTATCCTTAATAATGCTAAAAAAAAACGTTTCATTTTTAATTGAGAAATTTGGGTTCAAAACTTTAAAATAGTTTAAAACCCATTCAATGTGGTTAAATGAACACAGTTCCGAGAATTTTTTTTGTTCGGCATTTAAAATGAGAACCATTTTCTCAAGTTTTAAAAAAAGTGCTCCTTCGCTTTTAAATTTGTCTAAAAATTTATAGAAAATCATTTTAGTTGTTTTATTGAAAACGATCTACTAAAATGTTCTAATATTTTTTTGAGTAGCGCCATTCTATTATATATAAACTTTGTCAAATAACAAATATATATATATTTATATGCATTTATAAAAAGAGTTAATCTAAGTCCTCAAGATGATATTTCAATAACTTTAGTTTTTTAAAAGGATCCCTCGATATGATCAGAATATTTCCATCTTTTCCGTTCATTTCCCTTGTTCAATATTCCCAATTATTTTACTCAAACCCCCGTAAATTATTCACACGAAATTATTTTTGGTTTAATTACAGCAATTTATGGTTTTAATTAAAAAAAAATACACATTATATGTACGGAACGAGCTAATGTATAATGTATAAGGTATATATCATATATGGTATATAGTTTCACATATCTGTGCTCGGGTAAAATCGCCAGGAAAAATCGTACGTTTCACAATTGCTTCGACCACGATGTGGATTTTGGGATGGGTTTTGGGTTTTGGGTTGAAGGTGAGTTGGGTTTTGGTTGTTTGGGTATTTTGGGTTTCCGGGACATCTGGGGGAAGTTTGAGAAGAAAATTCGTTGATCCAAACATTCCTGCGGGGGAGTTGGGGTTCCTAGTCCTCGGAGGCGTCGCGAACGGGCTGCTCCGTGGAGGACTCGGCTCCGCTGGCCGTCTCCTCCTCCTCGGAGTAATCCTCGTCGTGGGTGTGGGTCACCACCGTCGGCGTCGAGGGACGAGTGTGCACAATAGAGCTCTGCGGAAAAGGATTGCGGTTTATTTGGTTTTAAAAACTTTGTTTAAACAATAATAAATAATAAATAGTGTGCCGAATTAAATAATAGTGATATTTCAATTTATAACTGGGAAAAACTTTTCAAAGTGAGTAAGGTTGGAAAATGAGTTTAATAAAGAAAGTGTTGGAAATTACAATTTTTAAATGTCGGTCCACGAAGTGTTGTACATGATTAAATAATATTAATTTCAAAGGAAATTGTAAAGCTAGAAAATTCGTTTGTTAAATGGCGTTTTACATAAATTTTGTGAAAAGAAGTTAAAGGTATAAAATAAAAATAAATCAATCATAAAATTATCAGTGAATAATAATAAATCAGAAAATAAAAAAAAAATAAATTCTGCACTTAATTGAATGATTAAATAAGTCTGCACATTGTGTAGTTCATTGTTTAAGAATAAGATTCATTGTGATAAATTGCGTTCAGAATGAATTTATGGTAATGTAGTGAAACTGTGGATAAAATGCGGTTAATTAAACTGCAATGCATGACTTGATAGTAAGCTTTCCATTTACTTTGTTTGTAAAATTTAAAGGTGTTTATTTGGTTTAAATATAAAGTGTATTTAAATCTTAAAAATCTTACCGCGCGGTGCAGATCCTTGGCGTCCTTTGGTTCCTTGGCCTGCTCGTTGCCGGCCACAATTCGCGCCGGTTCGTCCGGCGAGGCGGCCGCCGAGGAGGAGCCCGTTCCCACTGAACCAGCAACAGGAGCTGGACCGGAAATGGAGCCCGGTGCAGGAGCAGAAGCAGGAACCGGAGCCAGCGGAGGCGGGTGGGCCTGGTCGTGGGCCACCGTGGACTCGTGCGGCAGGAGCATCGCCGGAGCACGGAACATGTACGAGAAGGGATAGTAGATGAGGTTCAGCAGGGTGGCCGCATAGACGTCGGCGTACCGCACCACCTGGCTGGAGAAGAAGGTTTGGCGGGATCCGGAGCGGAAGAGCGATCCCATCATGCCGTAGGACATGTCCATCTTGTGCGTCACGTCGCGGATGCAGGTGCGCAGCTGCGAGATGTCCGGCTTGACCTTGGCACTGGAGTCCAGGTCCCGATACAGATCGCCCAGCTTGATGTCCAGATTCTGGAGCTCCGCGAACAGCTGGCACTCATCGGTCCACACGTGCAGTTCCCTCACCAGCTCGGGAACGATGAGGAACGTGCGCCAGCCACGAATCTTCTTTGACTTGAGGATATCCCCGAAGATGTGATCGCCCACGTAGAGCACGTCCTTGCCCTTGGCGTTGATGAACTTGGTGAAGAGCTCGCAGGAACCGCCGGAGTAGACCTGGCCCGGCTGCAGCGGACCAATGTGGGTGCCGATCTTCAGGCCCCCGGTCTTGGTGTCCACCTGCCGCAGCACGGTTCCCTCGTCGAAGAAGAGCGGCTTGCGGGCATCCACCACGATCACATCGAAGTAGCTCTTCCAGTCGCGGTGCGGCTCATCCGGAGTGGCTCCGTGGGGGAAGTCGAACAGGTAGGTCATGATCTCGTTGGTGTACGTGTAGTCGCTGTTGGTCAGCATGAACAGCTTGGCCCCCGACTCCCGGATGCGGGACAGGACCGTCGGCAGCCGCTCGTCCTTCTTCACGTAGTGCGCCATGTTCTGCAGAGGAATAACTCAGTTTCAGTGGGGTACTATGGTGACAATATAATATACTAGCATTCCTCAAAGGTAAAAGAGTTCTAGAACTGTTCACTCACTCAACTAAATTCGATTTAACTTCTTAACTGTGTAATAAATAAATTAAATCATATAATAAATCCTAGTCGTTCAACTAACTTTGTAAATTAAATTATTATATGTAATTTGCATTAATTTCACTAAAAAAGATTTTATAATAACCCATCTGCAATTCTGCAATTAAGGTTCAATATTTTCCTATTAATATAATATATTAAAATCACTCTTTTTCTATTGATTACTATGATTTATACTGTATAATCTATAAGAAGTGATCGAGTATCCTCTTCATGAACTCTATTACCCTGTCCAAAAAACCACTTGTTTGATAGTACAAGTGTCCTGGTACTCAAGGACTCACCTGTGTGGTGCGACGCTTCAGATCGCCATCGGAATGAACCCAGTCGACGGCGCGACGCACGTCCTGGAAAATCGACTTGTAGGTGAAAAGGAAATCGCCAGCTTTGATGCCGCGTTCAACGCTGTCGGGGGAAAGAGAGAAGTGGAGAAAGTAGAGAAAGGGATGCGGAAAGATGGGGGGAGTGGGCCGAAAGTTGGATACATAGAGGGTGCTACTAAGTCTTAAGTTGTATTTAAAGGTTTCCAACCTACAAGGTATTTATACCACTTTTAATTTCAACAAGTTATCTTTTTGTTAATAGTTTCTTGCAAGATTAAAACATGAATTTAAAATAAGTAGTACTCCATAATTTAAAAGTATAACAATTAAACTTTTTTTGTATTTGTTTACAGATGCTCTTTACATTTTTTGTTTATAAATTTAGCTAAAGTCTAGATTTTAAAAGAATATTGGCTTTAATTTAAATTCATTTAAATATTGTTTGTTTTTAATATTTAAGAACCCAATTGGTTGGACTTTATGACTTTACTAAATAATAAAATAATTAGTGTAAATACAGAAGGTTTTCAGGGAAGTATAAATAGCAGAGGGAATCGCAAGCAAAATCCCAACTCACCGCACAAATTCGCTGCTGTTGGTGAAGAAGTCGACCAGACAGGCCAAAAGATAGGTTTCCGGCAGATTGAAGAGAGTATTGAGGACATAAACACGCGACTCGTCCAGCTTCAAGAACTTGTTGGGATACAGCTCGTACACCTGGTGGCTAAAAGCGAGATAAACTCCATCAATTTCATTCATTTGATGTTAAAGTGAACTCCACATACTGCTTGATGAACTCGAATCCATGAACGCAGACCAAGATGTTGCCGTAGGCATCCACTTTCAGCAGATTGCCGTAGAGCGTGTCGAACCACAGACCGCGAACCGGGAAAGTGGGATCGTACTCGAACTGCAGGATCTCCTTGGGATAGCCCATCGAAACCAGACGCTCCTTGACGAGATTGAAGCCCAGCTGCTCGTACTGCGGCGACTTGTACTCTGCATAAGAAATACTAATTGGTAGTTTGAGGTTTTTGAGGGGACTGTGTCAGTCACTCACCTGCCAAGGTGTAGTCCATATCGAAGCCATAGTACTTGATGTTCTCCAAATGCAGCGATCTGTTCACAAACACTCTGTAAAAAAAGAAAAAAGGTAGAATTGTTAAAGAGATTTTCAGGCAGGCTCCGGTTTTCACTTTCACAAGATTCTCTCGTTTTCGTTTTCGAAAACGAGAATTGGTGCTCCCGTTTTCACTTTCACAAGACTTTTTCGTTTTCAAAAACGGGCAAGTTTTTTTGTCGAAATGAAAAGTAAATGCCTTTTTCTACATTAAATCGGTTCTTAATTGCAAAAGGAAAAAAATTATTGACTCCTTGGTCTATTGGTGTTCATTTCACATCATCAGTAGGTCAATCTAATTCGTATTTATATTTTAAATAATTATTTTCTGACATAAAATATTTGCCGTCGGCAACAACAAATTTCGTTTTGCTAATGGGCCGATAAATCCATTACCAAAAGTTATCGTCAATGCTGCCGTACTTGTAGTGGAACAAAAAAAACTTAAAAATACTTATAAAATGAAAACGAAGAAAAAAATATTTGTGAAGAAAAGTTAAATAAGCTTTTTATAAATAAATATGATTAATTTAGTTTCTTAAATGGCAAAAGTGCAGTAAAAAAATGGTTGAGAATAGTGGAATGAAAGCTGCAAAAAAGGTGGCAGCCCCTTATTGTGGGAAACAGCTGATTTCTGATGGAGGCTTATTTGAACTTTTAAAAATGTAATTAAGACAACTTAATTTACCGATCGTCAGACATATTAAAAACACATGTGCAGCATCTAAAATGTCTCGATTTTCTTAAATCAATCAATTTCTGCTTTCTTTTGGCTTCAAAACAGGCAATTGAAAATTTTTCGCGTTGTTTACTTTTGACCAAAATAACAAGTCAGCTGTTTGAACAGTGGAGTGCATTCCGATAATGAAACGATGACAAAAAGTTTGTGAAAACCGGAGCACCTAAAACGAAAACGTACGTTTTCGCCCAAAAACGAAAACGAGAAAAAAAAGTGAAAACCGGAGCCTGCCTGTTTATATACTAAAGGAAATAATTTATTGCCTACCCTTTGGCTTTAAAATAAATATATTTCTACGCTATAGAAAGAAGCTGCAACTTATTTAACTGAATTGATTACTTAGTAATCACCTCAAGAGTTTGATAGTTTTTTTTCCAAATTATTATTTTTAATATCACCAAAATACTTTCAAAACCTTATTCAAATAATTTAAAAATTTCAAAATATTCCCCGTAAATTGTTATGCTTAAAGGCAATGATAAATTCCTAACTCAAATTCTAATAATACATTTATTTCTTTATCTCAAATAATTGTATTACACTTCCCCCATTTCCGCGGCGAAAAACTATTTAATCGAGTGCAATATTCTGGAATGTTGATTTGACTTCGATTGATTTCGCTGATCATTCATTCCATCAGAAGAACGAAGTCAACGAAAGGTTATCAGTTTGGCATGGAATCGCAAATAGAATGGCGTGAAAAACGAGACTCGAGTGGGAAATTGTGGCATGGAAATGGCGTGAAAAGCGTGTGACATTCAATTTTCAACTTTATCGTTGCGCTTTTGATGATGGTTAGGGTGATGGTGACCTTACGTCTGGCGCTCCCAGACTTTTCCATTTTCCAGCAGCCAGGGGCGTTGCACAGACTCAAAATCGCCGCGATTTCGACTGCAGCGGCAACTGCGGTCAGCAATTAGTGTTGAAAAGTTGTTGTGGGCGGCCAAAATGCCACGCCCCTTTCTCCTTTCGACCGACTTTGTGTGTGTGGGTGTGTGTGTGTGAGCCACGCCTCTTTTTGTGGGAAAACTCATTAGCGAAATGAGCGTGGACAAAATGTTTTGCGATACTCTCTTTAGGATTTATTTTCAGAAGGGTTAGTTTACTTCGATTCATCATTATAGCTGGAAAATTATGTTCCTTAAATTCCCCCTTTGGCTTTTCCAGCACTTCCCATATTTTGATTGCTTTATAATGTTTACCGAATCAATAATTCGATTAATCATGAGAAGGGGATTATGGATTATGGCAAACACCCTTCACAAAAGAGCATCTTACTTTCGGTTTTTTTTTTTTTTGTGGGGTTTTCCTTGTTATTTTTTTTTGGGACAGTTTTTTATGTGTGTGCTTGGTGTCCATGCTGTGCGTTTATTTATCCTGCCGTCCCTTTTTGGCAATTCTGGTCCACTTGAACATTTGCCAAATAAGCGAAAAAGTTACATCCTCTTTTGGGTCCCCAGCAATCTTCCTCTCGTCTTCTTCTTCCTCTTTTGGCCAACTTTGTTGGTCGATCCTCGTTGTGGTTGTTGCTTTGACCCTTTTGTTGCCGTTGTCAACCCAAATTCGAACAGAATGCATAAATCTGTGGCAAAACACACGCCACAAAAGGGTACGGATACGGAATTCCGTTGCAATAATTAATTTTTTCCATTTCGCAGGCGAAACAGCTTCGCCAGTTTTCCAAACACGGCCAAGAGTGCTGCTGACTTTAAATCGATTGCGGGTTAAGTAGGGCTTACAATATAATATACAAATATTAAGTAATTGTAATTGGATGTGTAATAGCAAATTGTGTGTTAAAATCCATATTTCATACAGAAAACTGTTTAGGTTTGTTATCCCAACAATTATTTATCTATTTATGCAATTTAAGGTAAATGATTATTTAACCAGGATATAAACCAAAGATATAAAAATATTGCCTCTGAATTTTATTTAACTAATTTATATACATTTTTTGGCCATTTGATTTCGTGTAACATATTCTAAGAAATTTTTGATTAACTGCTTTTGATTTTCATAAATAGGAAATATAAGTTTAATTGAAAAATACATAAGCTAATGATTAAAAACCACGTCTTAAGTTTGTTATACATCTTAAATATACATAATTATTTCAAATTTGTTTTCATTACAGTTTAAAGGCGTTTGAAAGTATTCTACAAAATTCGACAAACATCAACAATTCGAGGTCGAAAGGTAGAGATTTCCTGATTGTTAAGTGCTCGGCCAACGAATCACCTAAATGTTTCCGCCGAAAATCAGAGAGAGATGACTAAACGGATTAATTAGGGATTGCGGCGTTTAAAAATAGCCTAATAAATGCATAAATGAAATGTCACTAATTCGCCGCTTGCATGGTTTAATTGTCGCTGCCAGCGGATTTCGCGTCAATTAATGCCACTAATTCCGCGGATCTAAAAATAAGTAGTCGGTGCCCGGGTAAAATCGGTTGGATTTCGATGATGGGTCCCAGATTATTGATTGCGATGACAGAGAAATGGCGCTGCCATGCCATTAGACCATGTTTTCTCCCCCCTCCCTCGGCGTAACACACTGCGTATGAGCAATGTTCGTGCAAGAGGAGGGTTCCTCTATCATTTGAGTTTCCACGTTTGTTTGCCTTTCATTTGCATTGATAACAAACAGCGAAATTCCGTCTTGACGATTCAAAGCCAGCTCTCTCCCGATTCCATTGGCTGAATGCTCAAGTGCGTCAACGAACTGATTGGCAGTGTTTTGTTTACACCGATCAACATTTTCCAGTGCCAAAAGGTCGTCGCTACACATTAGCATCGTCTTCTATATATGTACTCTATATATATTTAAGTATGTATTATATTTACCCCAGTGCACATTAAATGCGTGTTTTTCTGTTTTTAGCTGATTATATTTTTCATAATCGGTCCATTGACACTGGCTGAATCAGAGCATTTGCCGATTTGTTGATTTTATAAACGGATTTATGCTAACAAATAGAAAAACATTCCCTGATCGAAGCAATTTGTATTTACTTATCGTGATAAAATTGTATATTGTATATTTATAGACTATGATAATTGGGGTAAAAATATATAATATATAAATCAAACTTAAAAAGGGAAACTAAGTTGTAGAATTTTAGACTCAATTAGAATTAATCAAGAATATTTTAGGTTTCAATACTTTTAGCTTGTATTGTGAGAAACATTTTCTCACCCATTTATTTAACCCCAAGAAGTTATATTTAGTTTACACACTTAATTGGGGAGTCGAACTGAGTTCACAAAAAAATAAACAGGAATCAAAGTTATCATCTTTAAGCACTCTATAAACTTAGCTATTACATTCGAGAATTTTTCCTCAAAAACACTTTTGCTCGAGCAAACATTTTGACAAATCATTGGGGGTAACCTTATCATGAAAAATTGTAATCAAAATATTGTTCCCTCGAATTAATAAATAAATTCAAAAATATTTTGGCAACTAATTATTTAATGGGTTATTTCAAGCAATCGCTTTTGTTTTATACAATTTCTCATTAAATCTCATACCTACAATCTATTATGTTGTTAATACTTTGGATGTTATTTATGTACTTTTCCAACTGTGCTTAAAAGCAGACAAACATTTTAATTAATCAATGGGGGCTACCTTATCATGGATAGTTCTAATCAAAAATGATTTCTTGACACTTGTAAATAAACAAAAATATTTTGACAACTAATTATTATATTTCGAACAATGGCTTTAAGTTTTCACAAGATTTCATTTCAGTTAGGTACAATCAATTTATTTAGATTTCATTTCACCTGTGCTTAAAAGCCAAAAAAAGAGATAATCTTTTCTTTTATCTTTATAATCTTTTCTGAGCATTTATAAATAAACAAAAATATTTTGGCAACTAGTTTTTTCAAACATTGCTTTTTGGTTCCCAGATCTCATTCCAGTTAGGTGCAATCTTTTTATTTAGTTTACTTTTGCCACTCGGCAACTCAAAGAGGTCACTCGCCCCGATTTCTTGTTGCCAATGGAGACTTACGCGTGGTCGGGCCGTTGCAGTGGCCACCAGAAGGAGGATGACTTCGAGGTGGCTGCAGTTGGTCCGGGAATGCCTGGCGGGATTCGGGTGTCCGTGACAGCTGTCCAGGACACGCCAGTGGCAGGAACATCAGCCGGGGAATCCCCACTAGCTGATGTTGCTGTTGTAGTTGTAATTGTTGTTGTTGCAGTTGCAGTTGCTGCTGTAGAAGAGCCGATGGCATTCACACTTCCTGCACAGTGGCCACAGTTGGG